ACCACTATCTTAGCGGCCATGAGCAATCTATCGCCAGATCCCGCAACCCATTCATAGAAACCGCTCTGACATATGCATTAACATATATCCACGCCCTCCTCCCAAAGACTCTCATCCAACCCTCCAGCATCCGCATTCTAGCTGATCAAGCTTATTACTCCAACCCAGGCGTCGCCCGTAGCTCCAACCAAATCTCCCAGCCGCACAAAGTTTCTCGTTTCCAGGACTTCAACGTGAGCTTGAAGGAGGCGCATAAGACGGGATTGGGAAGTAGCGCAGCACTGGTCACAAGTTTTACGGCAGCAGTACTAGGATTCTACCTTCCAAAAGACCTGTTCGACGTACGAACAGAAAAGGGTCAAACTATCCTCCACAATCTTGCTCAAGCCTCTCACTCGCATGCTCAAGGCAAAGTCGGAAGCGGTTTTGACATCGCCTCTGCCGTCTTCGGATCATGCCTATACAAGCGTTTCTCGCCGTCCCTCCTGGGTAACCTACCTCAGCCTAGCAGTCCGGGTTTCGCAACACAGTTGCGTTCCTTAGTCGAAGGGCCGACATGGGACACTGAGATACAGAAAGCTGCTATCAAGATGCCCGAGGGTCTGCGACTGGTCATGTGCGACGTCGACTGCGGAAGTGAAACACCGGGTATGGTCAAAAAAGTCCTTGCCTGGAGAGCACAGAAACCAGAAGAAGCGGAGAAGATCTGGAAAGAGCTACAACGCGGCAATGAGGCCCTAGCTGCTGAGCTTACGCGTCTGGCGACAGAGGTACAAGGCGACAATGCATCGAAATATGACACCCTGAGGAAGATCATAGATGGCAACCGCGCTTTGATTCGCGACATGGGCGAGAAGTCAGGTGTGCCTATTGAGCCGCCTCAGCAAACACGTCTCCTAGACTATTGCTCGAAACTGGACGGTGTTTTTGGCGGCGTCGTACCCGGCGCTGGTGGTTTCGATGCTATTGTCTTACTTGTGGAGGACAAAGAGGCCATCATCGAATCGCTCAAGACTTCCCTTGCGGAGTACAAAGACCCAGAGGCAATTGGCAGGGTCGGTGTTATAGGTGTAAGGGAAGAAATGGTGGGCGTTAAAGAGGAAGAGCTGAGTCTGTACAAGGAGTGGGAGGCAGCTTCTTGAAGAGTACAAGAGTGTGGAGAGGTCTTGTGTCGTATGAGAAGGTGTTGTGATTGAGATTGTTGGCTGATGAATGTGATTGATATGTATGTCTGACAGGCGAGCATTGTCCTCTTAGTTTAAGCGCAAAAGTTCTGTCAATAGAGGTATCGCATATATCCACCAATACGGCAAAGACTAAATGCATAGCCAGCGCATTAGAAAAACAGTAACCTAGCGCTAGCAAAATTGGTCAATTCGTAAGGGCTACATTACCCAGGTTGCATGCTTTCAGTAGGTCATAATTCGTACTTCAGGCGCATCGGACGTTGCTCATGGAATCGTGGAAACAAGGTAGATTCCTTTCACAAATCATGAGGTATCATTCCGTGCTTGTCTGAACTTTTTATTCATAGATCTTGACATGGACGCCAACCCATTTCCGTTAAAGATCGCCCTGTCCGTCCATTCCCATCTGCTATCTCACCTTCCTGGCCCCGTTGGAGTATGGTACTAAGGGTACACTGGTGAGTCGCTAGCTGGAAAAGCTCCGGCAATGCAATGCTTCATGAGAGACAAAGGAAGAAAAGAGGAAACACCTTCACGAAAGCACGCTTATGCCTTGACGGCGTACTTTCGCTGGGGGAAGTGTGTGTTCCTCTTCTTCTGCTTCTCAGTGACGAGCGAAGCCTCGTGCTTGGTGAGTCTTCGGCGGATGGCGCGGGTCTGCTTGGGGCGGAGGTCAAGAGGAGTGTACCTAGGCAATGTTAGAAACTTGTCCTGGAGCTTCCAAGTCGGCCTAAACGCACTTCTTGCCCTTGTAGAAGAGCCTGAGCTGAGCCCTCTGGTTGGCGTTGATGACAGTAAGGACCTTGGCGATTCCCTTGCGGACGTCATGAATGCGGGTGAGCTTGGTGTTGGAGCCACCGGTGACCTTGGCGGTCCTGAGCTGGATCAACTCCCTTTACATCCGTCAGCATTCCGTCTTTCCTGCCAGTGTTCCGTGTTCGGCGACATACGACTTGAGGTCGGTGAGCTGGGACGCGAGCTCATCCTTGGACTTGTTCCACAGCTGGGCGGTCTTCTGCGGTGGTTGTGAGCACGAAATCGGACGGTGGTGTTTGCGCGAGCGAGGGTGTACGTACGACCTTGGGAGTAGACTGGAGGCATCAAGTCAGCACATGTTCTCTCAATCGTGAAATCTCAAATCCTGCGCAGCACCACTAGCGGAGGGTGCAACAGCCTGACCCCTCCACTGTCGGCGGTCCAGGGCTGCGCGACGCATTTCTCGTGCTGAACAGATAATTGAGAGCATAGACATACCATTTTGACTGTGTGTTAGTAGGACCGGGTGATGTGGATGGGGTCTCGCGTGTCGTCAACGAAATACTTTTGGTGTTGTCCACAGGTCGAATTCGACTGTGGCCGCTAAACTATCCGCACTATCCCTGAGATAGACTAGCGCCTTGGCCGTGCATTGCGTAGCCCGCGCCAGGGCAGGTGCGACCCTCATCATGCCAGAAGTCCAAGGTCCATTGTTGCCGCCTCTGCCTGTAAAGACACCATACTACTCGAAATGTCTTCTACTGGAGGTGGATGGGCGCAACTGCGTCAGCAAGCGCGCACTCTTGAACAACAAGTGGGTTTTATTCACTGCTGCGACGGACTTGGTCGGCTTTCGCTACAGCCCTGCTAACAAGGCATGGTAGACAGAGACGCTGTTCCACACATACTCGCAGTTCGGTTCGACGCCAAACATCCCCGCAAAGCCCTCAGAAGAAGAGTTGCGCGTCGAGACTAGGCTACAGGAGATTCTTGAGCAAAGAGATGGACTTGTCGGCCAGCTCTCACGGCTCCTCGACTCCGAATCGGCACACGGCTCCTCGGCTGTGAAGCAGAACAATCTTGCCAGACATCGCGAAGTACTTTCAGATCACCGTCGCGAGCTCGCGCGCTTAAAGGCCACCCTCAACGATGCCCGTAATCGAGCAAACCTCCTCTCCAATGTACGATCGGACATCGATGCATACCGGTCTGCGAACCCAGAGCAGGCGGAGGCTGACTACATGCTTGACGAGAGAAATCGCATCGACAACTCGCACAACGTGGCCGACTCGGTTCTCAGCCAGGCATACGCTGTACAAGAGAACTTCAGCCTGCAAAGGGAAACATTGACAAGCATTAACCGGAGAATAGTGGGCGCAGCAAGTCAAGTGCCAGGCATCAACAGTTTGATTGGAAGGATTGGGACAAAGAAGCGCAGAGACGGCATCATATTGGGTAGCTTCATCGCGTTCTGCTTCTTGATGCTGCTATGGTTCAGGTAGGCTGGAGTTGCACATCTTCATTTTGGGCGTTCAAGCGGGCTGGATATCCTCATGACTTTCATTAGCATGCTATGCGTAAGGCGTCTTGGGCCTGTATGATTACAGTTATGTTTCCAGAGATTTCGGGTATCGTGGGAATTGGAGTCTTCCGTATGCTGTACAAGATATCGTTACATGCCGTCATTATACCTCCCCAATGTAGGCGTTGCAGAAAGCACTATCGGGCTTCAGAGACCATCTTCGCAAAACCCCGGTTCATATCCTCCATCTCTGTCCCTTCCGCGTCCCCGCTTCCCGCCCATCGAATCTTGCAGTCTTGGTCTACGAGATAGACATAGCCGACTCTGCCGTTTAATAATCCGATAGTCTCCCTTATCCTCTCACTAACACCTCTCTTTACAATAAAATACTTTCCCCAATCCTCCTTTGCTTTAGAGGCCTTCAAGCGCCACTGGAACAAAGATATGATCATTGCTTTCATGCTGTTCTCTTCGATATTGATATCCACCATCTGCGCAACGCCCGGGTTTTGTGCAAGAATATCGTGCAGCCCAGCATTCGTTTGCTTTCCTGTGAATGTGTCCACCTGGCGTACTCCCCAATCTGAACTAAACACATTCACAACACTAATCTTGCCGTTGAGCACGTCTGTAGTGTCCTTGTCCTTTCCCTCCAGTGTATCTCCGTGAAAGTTGGGAAAGTACAGCGCAGCGTCTTTCTTGAAGATTCTCGGGTTTGCCATGAATGTCTTTCCTGATCTGTACTTGCGGATATTCTTAAAGTCACGGAAGTAGTTCGTGCCCCACTTCTCCACAAGGTCTTTGCGCTTCTCGAGGTTCCGTTGCGACATACTCATGCCGGAGTAATCTTTTTTGGTCTTGGGGTTGCTAGTGTTTTCGCCCGGTTGCGGAGGCCTGCTGAAACCGATGGGGCGGCCGAGAGGCTTCGGGATGAATATGTCTTCATCTTTGGGGTTGGGAGCGGGTGAGCCGGGGGTGGGCTTGGGAGCTGTTTCTTGCTGGCGCAGAGTATGTATCGAGGTGAATGGTCGAGTGGATGGTTGCCTTGCAATTGAGGATATTGCAAGTCGACCCTGACACCTTACGCAGATCGACGAGACATCAAGGAACGTGCGTCGCAATGGCGCTATTATCCGTGGTTGCAGCATTTTGGATGGGGGATATCTGTGTCCCGCCAAACTCGAGAAATGACGAGAGCAAGCCTCGAGCTAGTATCAATGCGGCCAAAGTGCCACGTGCTTTCGCGTCAACTGACATCCCTGTACGCGCTGCTGCCTCGGTCATATTCCACGACTCTTTCACCTACATATTGCCAGGTAACCGCAGGTATGACGAACGGTGCCTGCGATCGGTATACAAGGTTCTATATTGGGCAAATAGGTCTTCGCAGTTGTCGCTCTTGACCACCTCGCACCCATCACGCTCAACATTGAACGACTTCAAATGGAGCCTTGCCATTGTCACTAACGACCCAGATTGAGTCAACACCACTGTAGTCGCAAAGACTCGACCACCGAACTACAGAATCCTCTACAATGTCAGACTCCGAGCTTGCAGCCAAGGAAGCCTACTTCAAAGAACACGAACTCATGGATACGTCCAACGATGCACAAGACACCCTGGACAACAGCGCGAATAAGCTCGAACAAGCACTAAGAGAATCGAGATCCACGAGACCCACATCCCTCACAAGACAAACAAGTAACTTTCTCGGACTGACACCAAGAGAGGCGTTCGAAGCGCATACAAGGAAACTACGCGAGACAGAGCGACAGGCGGGCCATAAGCCGATGCGCTCATCTACGGCGCCCGAATCAGAACGTATCAGAGGCTCTCCAGCCACGAAACCACGCAGTAGGACAACGGTAACATCTGCTGGTCCGAAAATCAAGCTAAGAAGGGTATTGTCCTCACCTGAGACAGCTGACAAAGATTTTACACCGTTCTACATTCGAGTAGGTGATGTTCCCCGAGAGTGCGGGAACAAGAGGAACCCTAAACCAGCGATCAACATTCAGCTGGATCCTGAGTACAAACAATATCTCAAGGGCAAAGTCGTATATTTCTACCCACCGAACGACGATATTCTCACAACTCGGAGACGTCGTATACACAAAGTAATACAACTTGGAGCTGCTTGGGTCAAAACATGGAGAGAAGACATCACACACGTCATCGTGGATGATGACCAGTACACATACATGAGCTTGTTGAAACATTTGAACATGCCAGGACTCCCCAAGGATATTGTACTAGTCAAGTACGAACCATATGTACCGGAGTGTATACAATTCCGAGGGCTCCAAGACCCGAGCTGGCCACGGTTTGCTCCAAAAGGCGCGCCCAATAGTAGAGGACTCAAACAGCCGACGCTGCAATCAAATGCTTCGGCCGCTTCGCAGACGCCGCTACAGGTCAAATCGTCAACACGACAGACGACTGCATGCTTGCAGAATACTGATTCACATCCAGAAAAAGAAGATGTCCCTGCTACCCAGATCACTGCAGATATAGCTCCATCTGGCTCTTTGGACGAAACTGTTAGAGATAGTTTTGTCATGCTATCTTCGAGCGTCAAGAAAGCTACGCAACCAAAGGCTATCGATAAGTTCGACGATGATCTTTCTCGGGCTATACTAGAAGCCAAAGCCACATCACACTTGCTGCTGGAGGAGGACGAGGATGTGGAGGACTCAGATACAGACGAAGAGCCCGTGGCAACGACTCCCAAACTACCGAATAAGTTTAATTTCATCTCGAAAGCATCAGCCTTACGTGAAAAGAAGCCCTTCAACCAAAACGTATTCCAGTATATGAATCCGGGTGCTCAAGGCTATACGTCCCCGAATCCCAATGCCCGAACCATTGAGATCTTGGGCCAGATGTGCAAATACTACGAGCAGACGCAGGACACATGGCGGCCGATAAGCTACCGCAAGTGCATAACTACATTGAAGAAGCAGACTACCAAGATCAACACTGCGAAACAAGCTGCAGCACTTCCTGGTATTGGTTTGCGACTGGCCGACAAGATTGAAGAGATTGTGCTCACCGATCATCTTCGCAGACTGGAAAGTACTCGAGATGACCCTCTAGATTCAGTTCTCCGATTGTTTCTTGGTGTCTATGGCGCTGGACTTGTTCAGGCTAATAGATGGATCCAAGCGGGTTATCGTACGCTCGACGATCTTCGAATCAAGGCGAGGCTTACCGAGAGCAACAAAGTCGGCGTAGAGCGTTATGATGACTTCAACTCTAGGATACCACGCGCTGAGGTGGAAGCACACGGCGCCATCCTCGTAAAAGAATTGCAGAAGATCGATACCAAATTCAATGCTACCATTATGGGTAGTTATCGCCGAGGCGCAGAAGACTCGGGCGATATCGATGTGATACTTACAAAACCCGGTACTTCGCTTGCCGTCATGCGGACAACGGTATTCGAAGTCCTAGTCCCTCGTCTCTACAAGATTGGATTTTTGAAAGCATCCCTAGCGACTTCTCGATCCAACGACGCTACAGGGTCAAAGTGGCATGGAGCTTCTTGTCTCCCGACCTCAGAGGTCTGGCGCAGGATGGACTTTCTCCTTGTACCGGAAGAGGAAATGGGAGCTGCGCTGATATACTTCACTGGCAATGACATTTTCAATCGCAGCATCCGACTGCTGGCACGCAAGAAGAATATGAGGTTGAATCAAAGGGGGTTGTACAAGGACGTTCATCGAGGGAGAAGGGGTGAGAAGCTGAACGAGGGTGTCTTAGTAGAGGCTAGGAGCGAGAAAAAGATTTTCGAGGTGCTGGGTGTACCTTGGAGGGAGCCGTATGAGCGAATCTGCTAGGACTAGTAAGAGCAGTGACTGAGAGTCGTTCAAAAAGGTCTAGGAGGAGATAAAATACAGTCTATGTCTATCAATATCTTACACCGAGCTATAGACAGCCCCATACTGTTTCTTGTTTGACGCTGTCGTGCTTGCATTGCCCTCCTGTAAATCTCCTCTTCCCTTCGCCGCCTCATCTGAGGTATTGACATCCAGATCTTGCTTCTGCTCCACAACTTTTCCAGTGCAGAGAGCGAGCATGTAAAAGTCATACAAGACCTTGCCCATCTCCGCTGGGCGTGCCGGTTCTCCTTCTTTGCCCTTCGTTGCCGATTTTCCGATCCACACGTTGCCCAGAAAGCAGGATGCAACAATTGCTGCGGCAACAAAAGGCAACACGGAGATCAAAGACCACATCACTGCCTTGGCAGCCGCATTCTGCACTTCTGTCTTGACTGCTGCAGGAAGACTGTTCAAGAGTTCGAGGCTCGGTGGGCCAGTGGCAGGTAACGAGATACCGTTCCCAGGGTTGATTCTCGTCAGAAAAATGGAAAGCTTGTTTGAAAAGACCGATCCCATCATTGCGATACCAACCGTCTCCCCCAGAGGCACCATGAAGGAAAGCAGTGATTGCATACTGGAAATACGCGTTGACCAGATACCTGCTGCGTGAAGGGCAATGGGCATGAAGCGTAATCCTGTTCCTGCGCCTGATACAGCGAGGAACACTTTTACCAGTGTGATGTGGCGGATGGATATCGAGTAGGTGAGGAGTGCGAGACCGACTCCTTCAACAATGGAACCGATGAGCAAAGGGGAGAATGTTTGTCTTGGCCAACGGTTACATAGCATGGCTGCAGTGTAGACACCTACACCTAGGCCAGGTGTATAGTAGAGGAGCTGTACACCGGCTTGGCTGGATGAGTACCCCTCGGCAAGCTGCCAGTAGTAGGACAGGAAGTAGAAAGCGGAGACCATGGAGATACCAGCAGAGAAGTTGATGATCATAAGCAGCGTTGTGTCCTTCTTGCGGAAGAGTGTGGAGGGAATCATGGGAACTTGACGAGGAAAGAATCTCGCCATGACCCGGCCAGGGCCTAGGAAGTACTCGTGTATGAAGAACGCAATGCACAGGACAATGCCGACGATGAGAGAGACAATGACCGGGACTGAGCTCCAGGAATACTGTGTTCCGCCCCATTGTATTGCGAGGATTACACAGCCTACTCCAAAGATGAACATGGTTAGGCCGGGCCAGTCGATGATGGCGAGACCGGAGATATAGCCCAAACGGCGCGATTCGCCTGGTGCGGTTATGGCACGTCCTTGAGCGAGCTCTTTGCGCATGACGAAGAAGATGATGACCATGGCAATCACTGCGACGCCGATTGGGAGGACGAATATGTATCGCCAACTCGCATCTGCGAGGTAGCCACCGATGACTGGGCCGACAGCATAACTAGTTCAACATGATCAGTACAAGTTCCTCAGTTGAATCGAGTGAGAACTTACCTGCATCCCATGATCAATGATAGGACTGAGGTACTTCTCGAGTTCTCCGCCAGTGTTGATCCGTCAGACACAATGATACGACTCAAACTCACAATGCCAGCAGCACCTAAGCCTTGCAACGCACGGCCCGCAAGCAACATGCTCCAAGACTGGGCGGTAGCACAGATCACACTCCCTACCATGATCCAAAACATCTCGAACTGAAGTGCGAAGTGGCGACCGTAGATATCAGCTAGTTGGCCTGATGCAGGAATAAATGTGGTGAATGTAAGCGTGTAAGCTGCTACAATCCAGTTGAAGCTTCCGGACAGCTGGTCTAAGGACATATGTTAGCACGTAGGTATTTGCGGCTGAGGGGACAGACTGGAACGACGTACCGAAGTGAGATGATATAAGTGGAATAGCCGGAGCAACGATAGTCACGTCCATCGCAGCCAGGAAGTTGGGTAACACAAGTCCTAGCATCAACTTCAACTGCCGCGTCCTTCTTCGGCGAGCTTCTATCTTTTGCTGTGCTGCCTCTTCAGGTGTAAGGAAATTGATGTGGCTTCCTGTTGAGTCTTGAGATAGTCCATGGTTATGTCTATTCGGGTAGTCCTGAAGCTCTTGTCCTGAGGCAGGCTCAGGTACTAGGTGGGAGTCATCTGTAGTTGGGATGACCTTTTTGGCTTCGCGTTCCCTGAGCTTTCTCCGGACAAGTTTGAAGAGATATATCGCCATGTTTGAGAATCGGAAAAAGACAGCGGAAAGACGAGTGCAGAGAGAATGAAAGCGGGTGATTTGAGTTCCTCCATCGTTCCAGACAGTGATGCCTTATATCTTGTGCTGTATTTGCAGATGCGGACAGCTCACCCAAATAGGACGATGCACAGCCAAGGGACATGTGTGGCTATGAACCGAATTCAAGGGTGTTGAAAGCCTCTTGTAGACAATCTAGTACACACTGTGGGCCTTACACGGGATCTTAGCCATGAATGCTCTGGGTGTGACCAGGCGTTGAGAGAGATTCGACTATCCCTAGTTGGGTCACCCTCGCGGACCAATCGCAGCATTTCTTGCAGACGGACTCTTATTGCCGGTCCTGGGCTGAGTCGCGATTGGTACAAGACACAGCCTCGTTGGACGCCTGTTAGGCGCACGCAGCAGGTGTCACCCGTCGCACGATGAGCTTAAGCAAATTTGACAATGGTCAAGCTTTCCCAAGCTTTCACTAACAGCATTCCACTCCTATTCGTTTAGCTCATATCTGCTGGCACTTGGTCTTTGTGATAGTAATTGGAACTTCTGAACTTTTATCATCCTCTTAGAGCACTGCGAGATCTCGTAGTAGAGCCGTTGATTTCGTTGCGCGCTTGCCAGGTCAAACATCGTGAAGACGTACCTGTGCCCGAAAACTCGAATTGTCTCCAGTTGATCATCGACTGTGAGCTTAAGAAATGCAAGATTTGAGAGTAGTCTTGATCACCAAGGCTGTCGAAGATGTTTTTTGTGACTCCGTATAAATCAACGTTCGAAGACCCCTTGCAAGTTGCCTCGGATCGGAAGTGGTCGAGTTAATTCATACGTGTTGCTGAACCTTTTGGGAAACTACCAGGGAATGTAAGGTTTATATAGATCTTAACGGCTTTGGCAAGGAACTGAATGATGGTGGAACGGATCTGGCACACCACTGAGGGTAGGGTGCGTGACGACAATGCGTGTGCGCCTTCGAAGCGCTGTTCAGGTTGCTGCAAGGGATCTAGAAGAAAGACAGAGCTTTCTGTGTCCCAGTAGCTACACATAGATGATTGTAAGTTTCACGGGTTATGAGGTTGATGATGGCGATGCCTGGGTGGGTCCCAGCCTATGATAGACCTGTGGACGCTTGGCCATGCATGACGCAACATCAATCGATCTCGGGAAGGGTCACCATCTCGAGCCACACCTCCGTGCCGCCCTACACCAAGTCCAACACGTCCAAGCATGAGACCCGTTATAGCGGTTCCAGCTACTGCTGCGCTCGTATACAGAGCGTACTCGCGAAAGTCACTGACCCCAATCGGACTTCTTGCAGCGTTCGTGACAGCAGTTGTACACGCGTTACATCCGTGGAGTGTATTCTTTGCTCTTCTTGCAGTCTTCTTCTTGGCTGGCAGTACCGCAACGAAGGTATGCTCTTTCGAAGAGTCCTGCAGAAGATATCTAACACAAGGACAGGTCAAGCATGATATCAAAGTGAAATTGACACAGTCAGCGACAGGTGCATCTGGTGGAGAAGGCACTCGCAACCATGTTCAAGTTATTGCGAACTCCGGCGTAGCCTCGGTGCTAATATTACTACACCTCTGGCAGCTAAGGAAAGAAGGGAGATATGGTGACCAGGGTCTATGTTGGCATAGAGGCAGCGACGCGCTGGTGATAGGTATCGTAGCGTAAGCGAATGCCCTCCATGTTCCCGCATATTGCTAACATACTCTAGTAACTACGCCGCAGTCGCCGCAGACACTTTTTCCTCTGAACTCGGTATCCTATCAAAATCGAAGCCACGTCTTATAACAGCTCCGTGGCGCATCGTCCCCCCTGGTACAAATGGAGGGGTGACAGCGACTGGACTTGGTGCTGGGCTGCTCGGAGCTTTCATACTCTCAGCCACATCTACACTCCTTGTGCCCTTCTGCAAAGACTGGAGCTTCTCGCAGAAGACTGCATATACACTTGCTTTGACAGCTGCCGGTTTTGGTGGAACACTTCTCGACTCGCTCCTCGGTGCTCTTGTCCAAGCTAGCGTCATCGACGTGCATTCAGGCAAGGTTGTAGAAGGCGAGGGAGGCAGACGAGTTCTTGTACGCAGCAGTAACCCGCTCCACCTCTCGAAAGTAGGTCAGATACAAAGTAAAGTCAGCAGTCGTTCCGAAGGCTTGAATGGCACTGCGAAGACAAGCGGCGTGGACACTGCAGCGTCGGTCAAGGCATCGGGGACAATGCTGAGGGCTGGAGCGAGCGGCATTGCAGTCGTGGACCCGCAGCATGAGAGTCGGAAAATCGAGGTTGGGAGCGATCTGCTAGACAATAATGCTGTCAACATCCTCATGGCGGCTATGGTCAGTGTAGGAGCTATGATAGCTGCTTGCGTAATCTGGGACCTGCCCCTGGGCAGCATGGTCGGCATGTAGCTGCTTGAAGCTGAAAGCAATCAAAAGGGAAACACCACCTGTGCTAGACAGTTCGCTCTCATGTTTGTGATGCGGTCAAGTTTGGGGGTTGACCATCTACTCGTATGCCAAGACCACGCTAGTGGGCGCGTCACTAGCAGCCTGGAGTGAGCTCCCATCCATCGATAACAACAATTCGACATCCCGCCTTCGAACGTCAACAATACTCCAGCATATCAAGACAAGTATCCGACGTCCAGTCGCCGTATCAATCAACTCAAAACCACTCCACGTACTTCCAGCGCCACATTCATCAAGATGGTAAGCTGCCAGCACCATAGCGCCCGTGTACATTGACATATCCTAACATGTACCCCAGTCCCTCCGCTTCGTCCCTAACAAGGCGCACCCCACGCAAACCGCTCTCGAGACTTCGGCACCCTCTGCTCCCGGTGTCCACGACACGCTGCGATCTCGCCTCGCCCAGACTTCCATAGCACCTACCGCATCGTCGTCGTCGACAGCACCCGTCGCTCTTCAGTCTGCCCACCCACTCGAGGCTCGTCTTACCCAATGGCGAGACACCCAAGATCGCCTGAAGATGGAAATGCTGAGGCGACAGTTTGGCATTGCAGAGCCAGTGCGTAGGGGTATGGAGCTCAAGATCGCTGAGGCAGGCGAGTGGAGGCCGGCAACCCTGGGCGGAAGCAGTGGCGTTCACCGGGACATTCTGCAGGGACGAGATTGTGAAATTGGCTGGGAGGATGTGTTCACAGGCAGCGAGCTACGTGAGGTGCCAGACTTCCACACGGAGATTGAGCACAAGATGAAGATGAACTGGTAGTCTCGTACTCGTGTGATGCTTGAGCAGTAGCATGGAGGGTATTCCACATGCACACAAGCGACAGTTCAACTCGCAGTACGGACAGCTCACGACATGGACATGCCATGGTGGTGCAGGACCGAAACATGAATGAAATAATGAAATCTCCAACCTACCCTGGCTCGACAAACTCGCTGAGCATGTCTCGTCCTCTTTTACGTGATCTCTGGAGTCGAAGACTACCAGAATGGATGGCGGGCGGAACACTGACCTACATTGCAGGGCTAGGAGCAGAGTCAGCGCGCTACGTCGTTCGCTGCCGGTCTCTCGCATTAACAGATGTGATTTTCGGCATGCATGTCACTGTTCAGGCCACCGAACAAGTCTGTAGTGACCTTGCAAGCTTGTCATGTGCTAAACAATACTGCCAGATATGTCGGGACGAAGCCCGGGTCTACTTTGATTACTGTGCATGTGGCGTAAAGTAGATGCATGCAGACCAATTATCGCCATGGGAAGATAGCATGCAGGGGCACACGCTTGGGTAGCGAAAGGCTGGCGCGTTGTGGGCCCAGCAGAGTTGACAGTGACAGGAGAAGCACAAGACAGCTGGACGAGGGTGCGTGGTACCGATGGATGTGTACCAGCAAATTCCAAGTGGGCAGCATCATGGCCACGCGTTGAGGCGGTGTTCTCGGCTCAGTAGTGGCTCTTGGTGGAGCCAGCGGGTCGTTCTTGCCGCATTCGCGGATTGCGGAGAAGGAGAGCAAGGCGGCGACGGCGACCTTCCAATCGCGCACGGTCGCCCGACCTTCCATCACCCACGCATCAGAGCCCCAATACATCTCAACACCAAACTATTCTTCGCTGCCGTTCCCTCTGCGACGACGACGACGACGACGCTGACCGGAAGAAATCTCCCGTCGTGCATCCGTCATCCACTCGCTTGACCTCAATCAATCGCTCGCTCCTCCTATTGCCGCATAACATCGCGAGTGAAGCCGGCCAACCATGGCGTCTACAGCGGATCAAGCCCCCACGGCACCACAGAGCACTCCACAACAAGCGGGCGCAGGGTCGCGACCACAGAGCAGGAGCGACCAAGGTCTCTCGTCAAGCCCAGTCGAGATGAGGACTCTCCAGGCGTCGGGCGTCGTGCCAGCCTCTGCGAACACGGGCACGCAGGTTGCAGAGACACCCGCTACAGCTCCGATAGCGACTTCCACACCACCTGCAGTCGAGACCAGCGCCTCTGAGAATGCGCCTGTTGCTGCTTCTCCGTCTGCGAAACCCGCACCTCCCGCTGCGTTAAATCGCGCAGAGACCGAGGCGATTGGGCCGTCAACGGATACACCAGCTGCAAACCCAGACAACACCAACGGCCCCGTGCTCGTGATAATGCTGCTCCTCACTAGTGGTGCGAGACATCCATACAAGATCGAGGAGAAGTACCTGAAGAAGCGCAACATCAACGTTGAGAACATGGACCCCTACAACATCAGTGTATACACGCTCAAGGAGCTGATATGGCGGGACTGGCGAGAAGGTACGCATGCGCATTTCTTCCTTGCTCTGCGCACAAGTCGGGTCATGCTTGGCTGGGCAGTGGGGTGGCTGTGTCGCCAGCTTTCTCTATCTTGATCTGCATAAAGCTTCGAGCGCAATCGCAACTTGACACGCACTTCCGTACCTCCTTTGGCAAACGCTAACTACTCTCCACAGAATGGGAGACTCGACCTACGTCGCCAGTCTCGATACGACTGATCCACTTTGGTCGCATGCTCGACGACAAATCGCCACTAAAAGGTAAGAACATCTTCTCTATCAGCTCATGTCTTGGCGTGGCTTGTCCAACCGCTCGGCACACGCTTCCTACTGGCCGAGCCAGCTACGACGCGCAGCTTGCATAGGCCAACCCTTGCGAGCTCATGGTGCAGCTACTGACAACGGACAGATTGCCGGTTCCAGACAGACTCCCCTAACGTGGTGCACATGACAGTTAAGCCACAAGAGATGGTCGACGACGAAGAAAACGCTAAGACCGGAAAGACTGGGAGCCGAAGAGATACCGAAGATGAGCCTACAGCTGGCTGCCGCTGCATCATCTTATAGTCATCGTATCCGTTGAAGCCCAAACTCCGGTTACCATGTTCTCTTCGAACGACATTCAGGGTCGGCAAAAGTATATACAGCGTGCAGCGAGGGATGGTGAATCGTGTTTCTGTTTGTCGCTTTTCTTCTAGCGCGCTCCGAGAGTTACTCCTGGTTATCGTAATTGGCCGTTGTAGGCGGCTTTGGGTCGCGGCGTTCTCCTGAAGCGAATTGGGTATTTTCCTCGCTCAACACTTTCTAGTTTCTGTTTCTTTGCGTGCATATGGGGGTTTGCAGTAGTTCGGTCGAATCTGGAGCAGGTTCGTTTCTTTGTCCATTGTATAAATACATACATTCTAGGGATGGTATATTGCTGGATTAGGATTATTTTGGGGATAGACCGTATTGAATCTTTTCAACCTTTTAACTTCGACCTTATGAAATGAAGAGCAGACCAATGTGGAAACTAATGTCGACTCGGTGTGAGATGCATCTTGGGTAGCGGCATTGTGTATGGGTGTTTGCAAAATTGGACCCTGCCCAGGCGGTGGTTCCGAGGCAATGTTCCATGGCGTCATCGTTTGAGTCTAGCACTTGAAGTACCACAAGCTCCGATGGCTCTTCGCGTCACACCACGCAACGCACTTCACAACCAGACAAGCAGACAACCCCATCCCAGATAGCTCAACATGGTGCTCGAGGACGTCGAAAACACAGCCCCGGAAGGCTTCTCAGACAACCCATATCCCTCGTCGGACGACCCATATGCATCCGCGTCGCCGCCATCCTCAGGCGCTCGCTTCGACGCGAGCACCCTACCCCAGCCATTACCTATCATAGGCACCTTCATGGGCTTCTCCGATCGCGCTGTCCGCTTCAAGACCGAGACTACCCTCAAGTTCGCCGAGCGCAAGGTTGGCCGTCAACTAAACTCGGAGGAAGCACAGGCGCTCGCATACCACATATACCAGCTCGAGCAGACAAAAAGCTATTTCGCCGCCACGGGTGCAGCTGCAGGAACATACCAATGGTACAGGACCTGGGACAAGATGAAGTACCCCTTCTATCAACCCAAGGTCGAGGACATCGATCGAAACAAATTTGGTCCCATCAAGGGCAATATGGCGCAGTTCGCACGACATACATGGCGATTCTCTTTATATGTATTGGTGGCAGGACAGATGGGCAACATCATCGGCCAACTTCTCGCTCAGCCACTTGCTGCAGTTAACACATCAAACGATCCTAAACTGGAACAGTTTGGACAGGAGTTGAAGGCTTCGTCACACGCCGAAGGACAACGGACCGCACAACAAGGACGCGAGATTCAGGACAGGCGACGAGAGTTCCAGGAGCAGGTGAGGAATCGCGCGGGAGGTGGTCCTTCGCCACAGGCTAGGTGGGGTAAGCAACCCCAAGAGAACGGCGATGGAGGGGACGACATGAGCCCGACCGCTGGAAACGAAACATGGGGGTCTCAATCTGCAGGAACAGACACGTGGGAGAGTTTCTCGAACGATACACCGCAATCGACTTCACAACGCCAGCAGGGTCCGCCATCTACTGAAGCTTGGAATCGCCAACCATCTCCACGACGTCAGTCTGCACAGCCATCATCACTTCCTTTCGATGACGACGCTTCTCCTACCGGCGGCCTCTTCCAGGATGAAGTCAACAACCCGCAATCGCAGCCCCAGCCGCAAGCAAGGCCTGGGGAATCAAGCTGGGACCGACTTAGACGCGGTGGTGCGCCAGCGCCCCTTCAAAAGCCACAGCAGCAATCACGGAGAGCAGAGCCTGAGCGCAGGGAGCAAAGAGAAGGCTCCACGCTCGGGGATTCATACACATTTGTTGAGGGTGATGATGAAAGAGCTATGGAGAGGCAGCGCGCACAGCAAGAGTTTGATGCTAGGTTAGAGCGAGAGCGCCAGGGACGCGACTTCAACGACGAAAACAAGAAGTGGTAAGGGGCGGCGATTGAAAAGTAAACATTCGCGAAAATGTGAATAATCGACTGCGTATCATCTCTCAATTCATGTGAGTCATGAGTTTCGGGCCTTAGGTGTTGTCGCTAGATAAGACGTACCGTGGTTGTACACCCGTGCTGCCATCGCTTGCCCATATCTTCTAGGCTCCACAGAGAAAGAGGTGAGAGCACGAATGAAGACCAAGTGAGCGCAACTTAATACGAATGCTCTTTCACCAGGACCCATCTCCCTAGTTTTGCCCTCTGTGAATTCTACCTCACCTCTCTACCCACTTCAACGTGAAGCTCAACCTCTCGAAACAGCGTCAACCGTGACCAAGGTATGGTGTTACAAAAACATTCTAACTAGCCACTCAGTCTTACTGGTACGCGATGGATGTTAGAGACTCACTTTCGCCAATCAGGCGCGAGCCTCTTCATAAAAAATGTTTGTCGGACGAGATACTACCCACCACAGCCACTGGATCGTCGAAGTGTATTCGCATGGTGGGTCTTTTATCTAGGAATTCACTCTTTCCAAAAAGGCTAAAACGTATACACAGCAACGTACCAGTCAAGCTCAGCAGCTATCAAGCGCAGAAAATACCGACAGAGTTTTCGCTGATGAAGCGCATGTGGAGCTTTTGAAGCCAGTGCCCTATTGGCATGCAAACCAAGGCCAAAAAGGAGGCCTGTCGCAACCACAGTTACACACTAACATAGACGACCCATTTGCTTCTTTTGATAAGAAGCTGGAAAACTTGGGTAACGTACCTTGTGCCGTATCTATGAAAGACCCGCAGTTACTTCTGCCAACAGACTATTGGCCACGTTCTAGCCCCGTGAGCTTACCTGACGGAACCATGTACTGCTACGAGTGCAACCCAACCTCCAATGAGACAGAGGAGAGGACTCAATCACAGCTTTCTTGTGACAGCTGCGGCAAAGTCTTCTTTGACAAAGAACATACCAATACAAATAGTTCGTCAAGAGTTATTCCTGGTCGGCCGACGTTCTATGGTCCGAATTCTATGGATCCTTTATACGCTTTCGAGACTGCGAACCAAGCTACGGACCCTCGAAGGATCATGGAAGAGGATGGCCCTTCATTAGTTGCAGATGGTGAAAATGGCAATGATTCTTCTGGTCGAACGCATATGAACCTCTCCCGTCCTTGCGCACAGCTATCCTCCAGCAACTACTTATACGGCGTTGTCCTCCCACAGGTATCGGACAGCGGCTACGAGCCTCCTAGCTATCAGTACTACGTCAACAAAGTCTCCTCCACAGCTGGCTTTTCCTCAGCTTTTACACCCAGTCCTGAGGTTGACACTCTCACTCAAGAAACTGAGGAACACAAAGTCCATACCCCAAAGATGGTGTCTAAAGCTCCAAAACGGACGTGTCAACCTCGTACGTCTGAATGTGAAGTGTCCAAGTTCCACAGATTCATGGACCTCACCCTAGAGCTACGTCGATTCATCTACGCCTTCGCGCTTCATACGGGTCGCCCCATCAAACCGCATCTGTGCGACTACCCTGCTCATGATACTATTCAGTTTCATGATGACAACCAGCTTGATCATTTTGCGACCAACGATCTTCTCGGTATTACTCGCGTCAACAAGGAGACCCGTGCCGAGGCCCTCCCCATTTTCTACTCTGCCAACACTTTTGAGGTCGGTCCGAATACTACGACTTATTTTGACCGCCTGACTTACTTGGGTCGCTTTGACATGATCCGCCACGTCCGGTTCAGCATCGAGATGCGCAAAGAGAGTACATCACTCGGTCTCCTTCGTCGTATGCACCAGTACATAAAGGAAGCTGACGCGTTCGAGAAGGGGCTGGCTCAACCTCCCGGCCGGCGTCTTTGGTCGCTCACGCGCCACCCACAGTATACCTATGGCGGTATCCCAGAACTCAACACACTGATCGCGCTGATGAAGCTCACCCCTCCCTTAGCTGATAAAGACCAGGGCAGGAGCAAAGAAAACACCGCATCCCGCTCCAAGCTCGTTGTCCCTGTTCTCAGCGCATCCGCTATCGCTTCTTTTGACCGCCTGAAGTGGTTCCCAGCCGTCATATACGGTCTCGGCATTCAGATCCACTACGTCGAGAACATGCCATTCTCCTCTGTCCCAGGCAGCACGGTAGATATTACCTGGCACCAGCGATTTCAGAAGAAGGACTTTGGCGACGTCCCCGAGTACGTTAATCCGGTCGATAGTACCGGCCAGACGGCGGCTTACAAGCGTGCCGTTGAGTTAGATCCGGAGTTGGAAGAGAAGTCGAGACCTAGAGGGTGGGCTTATATGCGTACCACTTGTGTTGGTGGCAACTCCGGATGGTTCGATATCACGACTGAAGGTGGAGGTATTGGATATGGTCTGCGATAGCCTCTTTTGGTGAGATTTCTACACTGGATAGGAATTTTGACAACAAATAGAATTTGGAAATGAGCGATGTGTTCAATTCGACTTGAGTCTATCGGGAGGACATATGTGTGATAAATGAGACAGACTTCTAGAAGATATCAGAAAGAGAAAAGCCACATCAGAGACCTGCTACCCGCGTGGTCATATGCCAAGTATTGCCGACTACGAATAAAGCTAATGTTGAACAGGTTTGGTAGCTACATCAATCTAGCTAGGAAATACATGATTGAGTGGAAACTTGAAACATTGTACGGCACCACTAAAGAGTGCGTACCTATTGAAATAGAAAGTTGGTTGGATTGAGTATGGAGAAACTAACGCGTGGGAGGCCTAGAGCGCCTGCAGGCTGTGAGAAGCGGGCACACCCCACTCAACACGCCTCACTTCAACAATTCGCAACTACCGCTTACCTGATCGCTACTCAGATATCTACCATGTCTCTTTGCCAAAGCTGCATATCAATTCCCTTCCGTGCTCTTCAGCGCGGTGAGTATCCTCCAGGATGGAAAAAGGATTCCTGGGTCGATGAAAATGGTCAGCCATGGGGTTGCGACAGCCATATTTGGACATGCAACAGACGTCAGAGCACACTACCGCAATTGAGGGAAAATGCCGTCAACTGTGTGTTATGCAGCATGCTTATTCACGGGTTGGAAAATAGGCCAACGTACAAGCGACTTTCACAAGAGATGGATCTGGATGTTACTCCTGTGTGGCTTCTTCTACCTGGATCCGAAGGCTATTACAATCAGAAGCTCGAATTACATCTCGAGCAGCAAAATCTTCATCTAAGAAGCCCAGTAGGGGTGACTGCTGTGGAGTTTCGGAGTAGATTTGGTATGTAGCATGAGATCTTACCTGACCTCGATATGATAAGCTTATGAAATCCAGACACTCCATCTCCGAACCTTTTTCAAAGCGTGAAACTAGAGAAGCTACTCGACCCGGTACCTTTGAAACAGCTGAATTATTGGTATCACGATTGCAATACTGGACATACAAAGTGCTCTGGTCTTCAGAAAGATGTAAAATTACCTACGAGGGTCCTGGACCTATGCTCCATGCCCAGCGCAGATGTCATGATTGAGCATGTACATGAGTGGGAGGATCTGTTCCTTCCGAGCGAATGTAGACTAGTTGAAACCACTACAGGACAGCTAGGAAAGTATGCCACGCTCAGCTACTGTTGGGGTAGCGGACTGCCGTTCATGACTACCAAGGAGACTTTGTCATCGAGAAAGAGTGGCATCAACTTTCGGGATCTTCCCAAAACTCTTCAGCATGCCGTCATGATAGCGCGGTATCTTGGTCTTCGATATATATGGATCGACTGTCTTGCTATTGGTATGAGTTCAAGCCTCCGATCTTGATCTATAAACTGACCTTCATGTCCTTACTTATAGTACAAGATGATGCGGCAGACTGGGAGAAAGAGTCAGCTGTCATGGCTGATATCTATTCAAACTCATACATAAATATTGCGGCATCGAATGCTTCGCACTGTGGAGCGGGTTTCCTAGGACCACGGAAGATGCCATTGACCAAACGTATCGAAATTCACGACGACGAGGGCGATCTGGAGCTGTACCTCGTTGCTCAACAAACGCGAAACAATGTAAGACTGCGTAAGGAGCATCCATGAATAGTCTGACATGACCTAGACAGAGAGAGATCCACTGTACCAACGAGCCTGGGTTCTACAAGAGCAACTACTGCCAAAGCGTTCTATACATTTTGGAAGCGACAACATGCTCTGGCGGTGCCCTAACGGCATTGAACACGAAGAGCAAAACAAACAATGGACACACCTGTACACTCTCAGTGCCGTGGTAACCTGCATAGGTCTACCACCAGGTGTATCGTTGGGACAAGATGCCTGGTTTCAGCTGGTTCGGGACTACACCTCGAGAGGAATTACCTACTCCAAAGACAAGTTCCCAGCCATATCAGGTGTCATGACTGTTTTACGGCGCATGACTGATGACATGAGTTACGCTGGACTCTGGAGGCGCAATTTCCTCAAGTGGCTTTTGTGGATACCTAAGCATGATATTGCACCTTTTAAGCGGCCTCATGACTGGGTAGCTCCTTCTTGGTCATTCATGTCTGGAGACGGTCCGGTAGACTACAACCTGGGAGCTCTCAAGGATAACATGAATGCGTCGTTACGAGAGTTTTGCGCAACTCTCGAAGAGTGTAGTGTCACGCCCAAGGGTCTGAATCCTCTCGGCGAGTTGACGGCTGGCTTCGCCCGAATCACTGGTTCAGTAGTGGCTCTTGCTCAGATATCACAGAATTCGGTACAACACACCTACTTCTCGTGCAGCGTTCAAATGCGCGATCGGAAGGCGCATCCTGCGCGCGTTCTGTTCGATGTCGACACCCACGAGCGCTGCGATGTTCTGGTAATTGCGCCAGCCTTTGGAATAGCAATCATCTGCAAGAATGAAGAGCGCAGCGAATACGTACGGGTCGGACTGGTAGTAATTCAAACAGTAGATCTAAATGATGCGAAGGTCGTGAGTAGAAACCTTGACTTCGATGAAACTATCAAGAATGGAAGCACTGATATCCGTCCAGGATTCGAGGCACTCGTATCCGGAAGCATCAGATTACCCCGAGCCACGCTCGATTGTGCTTCTCTAGACGGAGTTGTAGATGCAGTGGTGGTTAAGCTCGGGTCTGCGTTGATCGTAACGGACATATCGGAAATAACTTCCCCGCATTTGATGTCTCTTAGGTACCCTGAATCAGGACTCCACAACAATGACAACCTCGGCCTTATTGTCAAACGAATCGCGCCTTTAACCATGGATTTCTCTGATTCTCTTCGTGTAGTAGCTTCACTGACTCTGGGAGATTGGGGTTGTGTAGATGGGCCAGACATTGTGTCTCTCAATTGATCGTCTGAGATAGAAGAATCCCTAGGAAGCGAAAAGCACGATGGCGTGTAAGTCTTTGACCCTGCCCTGTCGCGGTGCCTTGAAAATGCTGAGACATCAAAGTACCCATAATTGCTGGAGCGGCTGGCACAGCAGCAGTCGCAGCCTACCTGAACGCAAAACACCACATTGCTCATGACCTCAAGAATGCTCGCGGCGGGCTCTCACAATCACAAGAGGTTGTAGATTTCATTACCGATCGCGCCATCCGAAAACGCGTTCTTACCTACCATGTCTTCGAAGACCAGGTTCGCAAGCAGCCCAACCATCCCTTCCTCATCTTCGAAGGCAACGCATGGTCGTACAAACAGTTCTTCGAGGCTTTTACAAGAGTGGGGAATTGGTTGATAGATGACCTCGGCGTACAAGTAGATGAGGTGGTTGCTATGGATGGCGGGAACAGCCCAGAGTATTTGATGCTTTGGTTTGCTCTGGACGCGATTGGAGCTGTTCCAAGCTTCGTCAATTGGAACTTGACTGGAACGGGGTTGGTACATTGCGTAAAAGTGAGTTTGCTGATATTCTGCCCATGGTATTGGGCTGATCGTTGCAACAGATATGCAATTCTAGGTTTCTCATCACAGACGCCGATGTCAAGAGCAATGTCGAACCATGCCGTGCCGACCTCGAGGAAACAGGCATAAAGATTGAATATTTCGATACATCCTTCTTTGCATCTTTATCAAACTCGAAACCTATACCAGACTCACGTCGCGAACAACTTACCATGGAGTCTATCCGCTCGCTCATGTATACTTCTGGAACTACTGGATTGCCTAAAGCCGTGATTTTGAGCACCGGTCGCGAGCTCTTGACCGGTTATGGTGTCGCAAAATACTTGAATCTCAAACCAGAAGCCAGAATGTACACATGCATGCCACTTTACCATGGCGCTGCACACGGACTCTGCGTGACACCGATCGTCCATGCTGGCAGCACAATCGTACTAGGCCGGAAATTTTCGCACAAGACCTTCTGGCCCGAAGTAGCAGCTTCAGATGCGACCATCATACAGTACGTCGGCGAGCTCTGCCGATACTTGCTCAATGGCCCAACGAACCCATACGAGCGAAAACATAAGGTGCAAATGGCCTGGGGCAACGGTATGCGACCAGATGTATGGGAGCCCTTCCGTGAGCGTTTCAACATACCCATCATCAACGAACTATATGCGGCTACCGATGGATTGGGGTCGACCTTCAACCGCAATGCGGGTCCTTTTACAGCTAATAGCATTGGTCTCCGAGGTCTGATCTGGAATTGGAAGTTTAGGGACCAGGAAGTGAGAGTGAAGATGGACGTTGACACCGAGGATATCATGAGAGATGCAAGAGGCTTTGCGATTCGATGTGGAGTTAATGAACCAGGTCAGGTCTTGCATAGGCTGACACCTGAGACGGTGGCCAGTGCACCGGGTTATTACAACAATGAGGATGCAACGCAGGGTCGGAGGATCACTGATGTGTTCGAGAAGGGTGATATGTAAGTCTCAGTTTTTAGGAGACTGATGTGCGACAGGCTGACAACAACAGGTGGTTCAAGTCTGGCGACATGATGCGACAGGATGCCGACGGCCGCGTCTTCTTCGTCGACCGCCTTGGTGATACTTTCCGTTGGAAGTCTGAGAACGTGTCCACGAACGAAGTAGCCGACATGATTGGCAAATTCCCACAGGTTGCTGAAACTAACGCGTACGGCGTGCTTGTACCTGGTTATGACGGCCGCGCGGGAGCTGCTTCCATTGTCATGGCGGACGGCGTTACTGAAGCGACATTTGACTTCTCAGCATTGGCGAGGCATGCTAAAGCAGTCTTGCCGAGCTATGCTGTACCACTCTTCTTAAGAGTAACACCTGCATTGGAATACACAGGTACTTTGAAGATTCAAAAGGGCAGGTTGAAGAAGGAAGGTGTAGATCCGGATAAGATTACGGGTGAGGATAAACTGTACTGGCTGCCTCCTGGAAGTGATCGGTATCTGCCATTTGCGAAAAAGGACTGGGAAGCCATATTAGAGAAGAGGGTGCGTCTGACATAGCATGAGAACATATCAGATATCTCGGAATTCGTTCCAAGTGAAATTGCGCGGTACCAAATCTGATGCTGTTTAGGTACGCAATCATAGTATCGACAGATAGTGATGTGAGAGCAGACATGCGTGCATTCTCGTTACGTCGCCCAAGGATGACCTCCTTTCCCAAACTTCGCATCACAAAAAGCCAACTTCGTCAACCTCTTTTCCAAAATCTCTTCCTTGTGCATCTCCATCTCCTCGTAGTCCCAGTTCACGCTCACCATGCTGCCTCGCAACCACTCTGCTCTCTCAGTAGAGAGGAAAAGTGTCAAGCCTCCTGTTAGCATGGGATCGTCAAGGGCATACTCTAGATACTGCTTTGGCGGCATATCTGTTGCAACGAGGCCGGGAAAAAGGCTAAAGGTGCGGATGCCAGGCTGTTCATGATGAAGGAACTCCATGAACTTGGTTTGCGCGAGTTTACTGGGGATGTAGGAGGAGAAGTCGGGATACATGTCGCCTAACGTTCCTGTCGAGACAGAAATTACTGTGCCCTTGCCGTCCGGTGCTTGGGCGAGGAAGTGGTGCACATTCAGATGTACGGCTTTGACATTGACTTCCTGGGTAGGTGTCAGTAACCATAAAGGGGCATATGGAAAAGAGAGGAATCCTACAAAATCCTGCCACCATTTTCCCGGATCACCCTTGCCGATCATAGCTTGCGTCAAGGATCCGGCGTTATTGACGAGGACATCGATTCGGCCAACTGCTTCTCCTGCTTTCCTCCATAACGTTGCAACATCTTCTTCCTTCGTGATATCGATGGGCCCGAAGGAATGTACGGTCGTATCATCTTGGACTATGGCTTCCAATGTCTTAACAACCTCTTGTAGTCTCTTTTGGTTCCTTCCGGTTATGACGATGGCCTTAGCACCGGCAATTCTCCATGCTTCAGCAATCGCCCGACCAATGCCACCTGTGGCCCCAGTGATGAGAACTGTCTTGCCTACAGCTGAGAGAGCAGGGTTGCTAGGATCCAGCAACGGGTTGTTTCTACGATGGACTTTGCTTGTGAGTTGGACAGGCCAAGTTATCGCATCGTAGTCTGGTTGGTCAGCCATTGTCCTGGGAACCGATAAAGGGAATATGTTCCAATTACGAATGGTTGCTTGAGGAGTCTAGCATACATTGTACATTATTTTCGGTATCCATCATGTCATCTGCCGTACCCACAATATGCGGCACGTTGCAACTACCTTCCGGAAAGGGATGCCGATGCCGATGCACGATTGCGGCGCAGACCAACTTCGCTAGTAGGGAACGCACGTCGCATATCCTGCGGATACGAGAATAGGATGCCGAACCATGAACAAGCCTCGTATATCCAGCACTTATGGTGAAATCATTGGAGGTAGTCAAGAATAAGCCGCGAAGGATGAGGGAGGGGCGTTTCTGCACGGAAGGGATCGCCTCGTCCCCTTCGTCTTCCGCAGCCTCAATCTACACGGGGCGATGCAACTGAGCCGCAGGATCAAACGTAGCGAAATTGTGATATGTGGGATCATAGACAGGCGCGCAATAATGCAAGCATTCTCTTTCTGTGGTTTTTTGCCAATCACTCTTCAAGCCCACCCCACGATACCTTTCGGTCCGGGCCCGCCACTGGAAGACCAGTCGTCCGAGGAGCACAATGGCTTCAACAGATCCCACACAGACTCCGATCCTTCCTCCACCGCCCGGCCTAACGACCAACTTCGTGAACCCTCCGACGCTCATGCCGGCCGTGATTGTCGGCACCACGATCATCCATCTCTTCACTCTACCTTTCATCCTGGCTCGCGCCTATGTCAATGCATACGTAATGAAAGCATGCTGCATTGAGGACTACCTCTCCTACATCTCATACGTTGGCTGTATCGCCTACACCGCAGCCATCGTGCATGCTGAAACCGTCGGTATGGCTCGACACATGTGGGATATCTCTATGGTGACCTTCACGGAGATATCCTATATCTGCAATATCGTGTTCGTTTGCTATACGGCCACGAGCGGACTCGCGAAGACTGTCGTCTTCTTGCAGCTTAAGAAGATCTTTACCACGAGGTTTCGGGGTGTCGTTTTCTGGGTGATTGTTGGCTCGTTGATTGCTAATGCGCTGTTCTATACTGCCATGTTTTTCCTGTACGTCTTTACATGCTGGCCAAGGGAGAAAATATGGAAACCAAGTATCGAAGGGAAATGTATCGATTCGAACAAACTAAACATGGCTATGGGAACTCTGAATGTCATCAGTGACGTGGAAGCATTCGTGGTACCAGTTTGGGCGATATGGAAGCTGAGTATGAAGCTGCAACGGAAGATCGCGGTCTTGGCAATTTTCGGCGTGGGCGCAATGTAGGTTTTGCAGCTGCCGTTCAAACGACATGTAAAGACTTTGCTGATGTATATTAGTGCTGTCGCAATTGGTTGTGTAGGACTGTACTATCGAGTCATCCTGCTGCAGCAGTCTGACTTCTCCTGGCTACTGACCCAAGCGGGACTGATCTGGTAAGTCGATTGTCATACTCCTTTGAAGAGACGCGAGCTTAACACAACTCAGTATGGCTGAACTTGCCATCGTCATCATCGTGGGGTGCTGTCCGTACGTTCCCCGCGTGAAGAATCACCTTCGTCCATCGTCCACACCCGAAAGTTATGAGAATAGCAAACGGACGCCTGTGCCTTTGAAGCAACGTTCGAAGTTTTATCATCTGGAGAAGTATCTGGATACCAATGCTAGTGTGTCGAACCTCGGGTCGAGTGTCTCGGAAGAGCACCTAGAGCTACACCAATATTGCGAAACAAAGTCTAAGTACCGACCAAAGGGCTTTGGCGGCGACGATCGTGTCATCAGTAAGTTTCGCGCGTAGTGTAGAAACAAACAATTGCTAATAGTTGGACTGTAGTGCGTACTACGCATGTCGAGCAGTCAGTTTCGTAGATACGTGTGCGAGAACTGGGCAATAAGGAGCAGCTCGTCTGGTGTATACTAGTGTTAGATTCCAAATATAAATGGCCCATACAATAACTCCATCGTGTTCCCGCTATCTCCTGTGTACCAAGCTCTAGTCGTTTGTGATGGCTAAAAAGAATGACGCGTGAAGGGTCCGAGTAGATGGAATGGCACGTGCACGACGAGCCGGGCTTTAGCGTTGGCGCGCTCGCGGGTGGCGATCTCTTTAGTCAGCCAGACTGATGAGTTTCGCAGGTCCAGCCGTAGTCTTCACTTGTCAAAGACACAACCTTTTGCGCCGTTCGCTATACAACCTCCACACGAAGCCCGTAACCATATACACGACCGGAATTCATAGCCGAATCCGCTTCAGTATCGAAGATCCATCAACGCTACCACAACCACAACAATGGGAAAGGCCGAAGCAGGCAGCACAAAATGGGTCGCCAACAAGATGAAGTCCAAGGGCTTGCAGCGGTTGCGCTGGTGGTGTGAGCCTTGCCAGAAGCAATGCCGCGACGCAAACGGGTTCAAATGTCACGTTCAGAGCGAGAGCCATGTCCGGAACCTCCAAATCGTTGGCGAGGATCCCAAGAAGTACATCCAGGGCTTCAGCAACGACTTCCAAAGGGACTTTGTGAATCTCTTACGAACTGCGCATAACGAGAAGTGGATTGGAGTAAACAAATTCTACAACGAGTAAGAATTCTTGGTTCATGCGACAGAGAACACACGCTGACTGGCTTTAGGTACATCCGGGACAAGGAACACGTCCACATGAACGCTACGAAATGGAGTTCACTGACCGAGTTTGCCAAACACCTTGGACGGGAGGGTATCTGCCATGTCAAGGAAGACGAAAAAGACGGATTGATGATTGCTTGGAGAGATACTTCTGTTGCAGCTGTAAACAGGCGGAACGAGATCGCGGAGCAAGAGGCTGCTGAGGCTCGAAGCGGTGCTGGCGAAGACAAGATGTTGAAGAAGATGGCAAAGCGTGCACAGGAAGAAGCCGAAGCCAAGAAAGCTATCGAGGCCAAACGAGCAGCGGCTCAAGCGGCTGTTCAACAACAGGTCACCCCACCAGCAGAAGGAGCGTCGCCGACAGAGGAGAAGAAGGCCGACTCCCCGCTCGATGAACAGAAGCCAGGGGATGTGAAGGAAGATGCCGAAGAGCCCAAGGCGGATGCAGCGCCTGTTAAGCTAAGCTTCGGCTTGAAAGCCAAGGCTGCGCCCGCGAATAAGGCTGGACTGGGTCAAATGAAGAGCCAGAGCATATTCAAGCGGAAGAAGGACGATGCGACATCGGAGCAAAAGCCGGCGAAGAAAGTTAAGTTATGAGTGATGTTATAGCGCTGTTCTTTTTATATGCATAGCGCGGCGTTTGGGTCATCAGGTTACGGATAGGACAATGGGGCTGGATTGCCAGATAACCCACATACAATATATCGGCACGCAGTGTAGCCGCTTTCAGCGTGTTCTGCAGTCCCTGAAGGCTATCGCGACATTTCGCGTTCGGGTGCACGCGTCATACCATGTCTGACTTAGCGTCGTTCGGCGCGTCTACATCATCGAGACGCGTCTTCCCTACCATATATCTCCACAAACGTCTTCCGCCACTTCGAAAATTTCTCGTTCTTTACTTCTTCGCCCTGCGGATTCGTCGCGACCACGTCGAAACTCTCATCTCCTGTCGCAAGCATGTCTATTCTCACCTTGTCGTCTCTCCCGGACCCCATTCTACATCTAATATGTGTCTACCTCGCGCCTGACCGACCCACTATCAACGACGATGAACACGGCCAATGCCCGACCCTCTACCGTCCTATCATCAGCCTCTCCTTGACCGCACACTCACTTAATCGCATTTCCTCGAGATACATCGCGACCAACATCAGTCTCACAGATACATGCGCGCGCTGGGATCTGTTCCTACGCACCGTAACGACGAACCCTATCTACGCGTCGAACGTCAAATACCTAAGACTTAAAGAGAGCTCGGTCGAAGAAGATATTGGAATGTCAAACGAAAACTCAGCTGAAGAAGAGATTGAGAAATCGCCTTCGAAATACCAATATGAATACATCGCAGACATGTTCAGGGCGTTGACCGGCTTAGAGGCGATGTATGTACATTATGGCATATCGGCATATGCTGCTCATATCGTACACTGTCTTACGCACAAGCCGCTGCCGCTATGGGATACGATACGAGTGGTGCGCTTTGATAACACAAACGCCTGGGACGAGGAGTGCGTTGTGCAATTCGATCTCAAGCGCAAAGAGGAAGGAGAAGAGGAAAGCACATACCGCAAATACACTACGGGGACAGAGCAACTCAATGGGAACCTAGAAGGCTTGAACATGACCAAATTTCTGGAAATTCCGAACGTTACTGGCGTCATCGCCACAACTCGCGACTTCGAGAACGATGGCGATGACCAGGACGACGCGGACTGGGCGGACGAAGGCGAGGAGGGAATAGATGACGACAGCGATGGGTGGAGTGAGCGTGACTACGAAGACGATAGCGAAGACAGTGATTGGGATTCTGAGGATGAGAGCGATTACGAAGATGATTGGGAAGCTGAGTACGGATTCGTTGTACCAAAGGCTGAACCGGTAAAAGATCTACCGGTTCCGAACACTGCGGTTGTAGTTCCTGGCAAAAGTCTTCTAGATTTTTGAGCCTGTGTGGGATATGCAGTTATTTGATTGCTGGGTAAAAGGGACTAGGTGTGGTTCTTCTGCTGTTTTTATATTATATTGTATTACTTTGTTAGGTTTTTGGATTCGATCAGGCATCGAATCCAGCAACATTATCCTGAGTAGAGTCTTTTAATGCTAGACATGGCTTCCCGGAGCAACCCGTTTGAACTTGGATTCATAAACTGATTTTGAAAGTATGGAGTAGATAAGACAGTGTCTACTTTTCTGCCAACAAGCCTCTATCGCGCCCTGAGAAACCTGACCGTCATCGGTGGTGCTCCTGCAGTGAAATGGTCCAGAATACCCTCCCAGTAAGCGTTTACATCAGTTCCTTCATCCAGTACAATGTCAAACTCCGCGACCACCCTTCCGATCACACTCCTCAGTTCCATCAAAGACAGCGCCTTCCCTGCACAGCTATACGAGCCAGTCGAAAACGGTATGAACGCTTGTCTATTGAGTACCAATTCAGGCTTCGTCGTCCATCGCTCAGGAATGAACTGATCAGGTGCAACGAAGTTCCTTGCATCGTGAAATAGGGGAAATAGAGGTATATGCACAATCATGTTCCCTGGGATGAAGCGCCCATTTACCTCTATGCCTTGTGGAGGTGTAACGCGTTGTGAACCGAAAAAGACTGAAGGCCACATGCGCATTGACTCCTGAATTACAGCTTCTAGCATTGGCATGGGGCGCTGGCAGTCGTAATTGTCGATGTTCGCAAGAAACTCAGCGCGGACAGCGGCTATATAATGGGGATGTGTAGCGAGGTGCATGAAGAGGAAGGTCAAGGTTGAGGAAGTCGTTTCGCTGCCGGCGGAAATGATGAGACGTGATTCGCCGTAGAGGAGTTCGCGACCTTCTGGTGTTTTGGGGGTGGAGTTTATGAGGTGTGAGATTAGGTCGGGTTTGGCATCTCGGACCTAGATGAAGCTGTCAGCATTGGTTCCTATTGGAGTCCCAAAGGGAGAGACGTCACCTGCATGCGTGCTTTCATCTGACTGACGCTCCAGTCTCGCCACTCCTTCATGGGTCCTGCGAACGAGGTAAGTACACCAATCGCGTTCATCAGCCATGGCATATGATACATGTATCCCAGCGCCTGGACGCTATTCGTGAAAGTAGCAAGAATACTAGCAGCGACATCACTTTGCTCGCCTTTGATGAAGCCCATTGGTTTGCCAAAAGCCAGTGCTGCCATGACGTCGTAGCTGTAGTATGTCGCGTACTCAAACAGTGGAATGGATCTTCCTTCCTCGCTTCTCAATCGTGTAAGCAGCTGATCTGTGAAGTTCTCGACCTGCGGCGCATATTCCGAAAGCGATATTTTCATCGCGTTGTCCCAGACCTTGCGACGCTGGCGGTGGAATGCCTTGTCGCGGTTGAGATGTAAAGACTTCTCCATGACATCAAAGAAAGGACCCTTCGATGTACTTGATTGTGCTCCCAGAATTGGTTGAATCGCAGCTGCATCAAAAATAGTGAGCTCACGTGGCCCTGACGGTGTTAGTACTGGATCTGGAAGGAAGTACATAGGTTGGACAGACCTGTCCTAACATAGTCGCCATACCGACTCTGCAACCGCTGCAGAACCCGATGATAATGGAGGCCACTGTCATACGTCTGTTTGACAGTCCACCATCGCGATAGCTTCGCGGCCCAAGGTCCCGGATAGACGTTGAGTGGATGAAAAAAGGCACGGTACGCTCCGATGTACAGCCACAGTGGAACCCAGAAGAAACTCGTCACCAGTGTCGTGGCGACGAATCCAATGTAATAGAAGAGAACCCAGTATACGGTAATTGCTAGTCCAAGAATCTGAAGGGTCAAATGGTCGACTTCCACTCGTCGCAGGACAAATTCGTGCAGGATGACCGCCGACAATGGTGCGAACACAAAGACAGTGGTGGGAACCGACTCCATGGTCTGCTGTGTATGAAACTATGATCCCGTCCGAGTGTCCTGGGACTCAGTAGTGATCAGCTGTCTAGACAGTGGCGGCCGACAGATAGTTCTCCGCTGTTAGCCGATTTAGATGTTTTCTCCGCTCGAAACGTATCCTTGAATCAAGTATGGCGGGTGCTAGTATTCTACCGTTGCAATTGCAATGGGTGGTATTTATCGGGAGTACAAAACGTGGAAGATTTGCAGGTGCGTCGTGTTTGCCCGGAAGCCGACAGTCACACGTGGAGAACTGGTGCGAGAACCCGATCGACGGCCCCAGTTCATGAAGTGGGACATGCACGGTTCCCGTTTGTCCTGCAAACTGCAGATTGCCATTTCAGTTGGTGCTCCGCAACAGGAATCTTGCCGCATGCTGATTAGCATGCAGGGGTCAGCATTTTATTGCTGGGTTCCGTCACACACTATCGTACATAGCCGACTAGCGCCTCGGTACAAACTCATCTCTGGTTAGTGTTCCAACCTGTCGATATCGTGGAGTTTTCTAGTAGCCCAAAGCTGTCTAGTTCTTTGGGAGAAATGTAGTGTAGCCTCAATTCTCCGAGCACCACCTTATTGGATGCGGGAGTGTCATATTGTGTAACTTCGGTACGTGAATCAGCGTTGCTGCTGCATGCGACGCTTACCCGTTCTGGGACAGGAATGTAAGAGTCCGCCAGGTGAAGCGGTGGCAAGGCCTCCAAACGGTTAGAGCGGATTGAGACAACGGGTATGAGCATGGCAAAAAGGACGTAGTTCCTCTTTCTTTGATTTTATGAGGATCTTGTCTGGCATTTAGATAGGAGAGCGCATGTCCAAGAACCTTGTCCGGCCCGAGCATGCGCCTGCGTATTATGGTTCCACTGTTGAAGGAGCAAGGTTGTACGGGGAAGATCATCTGTGTACCCTCGTGTCGAGCTAGCATGGTAACTCAAACTGCTCCAAAGATAAGTTCGCTGCGAGTCCGGGAGTAAGCACGAGGTCCTAGCGATCCCGCCCTCCTTTCAAAGTCCTGTCTCTTCCTGCAAGCCCACGGCATTCACCATTTATGATGACTTCGAGTACGACCGGGTCGGGCGTCTTGCCTGCACCCCCTGGTGTTGAGACAGACTTCAGTGGTGACCGAACCGGTCTTCAAAGGAAGATCATCGTGGTGTATGTCGTGATGACGATACTTTCCACCATCGTGCTTGGACTACGACTGTATACTCGCATCTTCATCCGCCGTATGACAGGGCTGGACGATGCGCTGGTAGTCCTCAGTTGGTGCGGCTGCATAGGATGGATGGTCGTATGTTTCCAATGTGCGTATGCCGCTAGTCACTCTGTACACGGCTGACTTCAAGTATAGCTTTCCAGTATGGGTTCGGTCAGCACCTCTGGAATGTGACTATGGAGCAACTGATAGGCTACACGAAGATACTTGTCGGCATCATGGTGGTGTATGTTTGGACACCAGCTCTGGCCAAACTCTCATTGTTAGCACTCTACTACCGTCTCAATCCGGACCGGAAAGTCCAAGCATCCATCTACGCATTGGCAGTCCTAGTCACCGGATACTCATTGGCTATCACCATCGTCGCCGCCGGACCATGTAATCCGCGAACGCACACCGACCAAAAGTGTCTTACGGATCTCAACCTGTTCATGGCATGTATAAACATTATCACAGACTTCTTGATCCTCTGTCTGCCGATACCTATGTTGCGCGCGTTGCAGTTGCCCATCAAACAAAAGGTATTACTGGGTTTGGTGTTCGCTCTAGGATCTGGGTAAGCATCCCCAGTTGGTGTGCCGTTTCGCGTTGCGTGCTGACAGCCTCTACAGAGTGGTCGTCATATCCACTGTCCGCATTATATACGTCTACAGTATGATCAGTGATCCTGACTCGACTTACAACGTGGCCAAAGCGTGCATTTTCTCTACAGTCGAGCTCAACGGCGGAGTCATCTGCGCTTGTATCGCGCTCTTGAAGCCTTTCATACAGAAGTATATGCCCTGGATACTTTCCCTCTCGAGCGGAAGCGGGAGCGGAGACGGATCCAGAATCCGCAAACTGAAGATGTTTGTGAAGCGAAGCGGAGAGAAGAGCTATGAACTCCAAAGCGCAGATGCAGATGCGACCAAGCATGTCGACAACAGATTGGATCGCCGTATCGCCGTAACAAGATCATACAGTGTTTCGGGTTCGAAGACAGGTAAAAGCGATGGCGACAGCATGGAGGATCTCTTTGCGCCGACCGCAGGCTGGAATGGTGGTCGATAATCGCCTGCCATACAATCGTTCGAGGAAGGCGGTTGGAAACTATCGTGGGGACACGCAAGAAAACCGAAAGAGTATTTTGCGCGGGCTTCTCTGAAGACAGCTACTAGAGATAATGCGAGCATGAGCTTGGCGCAAGCCTCAGTACAGGGTCTCCCATTGAAGGACTACAACTTATTAGAAAGGCTAGTGACCCTACTCCGGAGGCATTTGAAAATATGAGCCTTGTGTATGTATCTTTGTAAAAGGAATCAACGTGTTTTCGAGAAGCCTAGTGAAGCTCTGGTATAGATTTGCTTATAAGGGTGCCAGACGATCGAAAACATAATGGTTAGCGGTCACGTCATTAAAGATTTCCCGGCACTTACGCAACGAGAGTAAAGCCAGCTTCGTCAGGTCAGGCCAGGCCAGGGTATCAATTTGCTGTTCGTTAACTACAAGCGCGATAGATCAGACCTTCGAACCTCAAGCGTCAACCTCTGCCCTTAGATTCTGGCGTCCACGAGCGATCGCATCGCCTAGATCCATGTTGGAAGCTTGCCCGCGCATGCTCGAGATGAAGCGACGTCCACCGTCCTTTTGTATCTTCTGCTTTTCCTCCTCCTCTCTATCCTTGATTTCCTGTTGTCGAACACGCTCGGCCCGCTGCTCTTCGAGCGATGTCGCCTCTGCTTGCATAGCGGCGAGACGATCGGCCGCGCTCTGATGGGCTTCAACATCATCAGGTTGTTTTCTAGGCGGCGTGCGATCCCGTCGTCGGTATGTATGGCGGTCGCGAAGGTCGCCACGATCCTCTCTCCTACGCGGTGATCGAGAACGATCTCGCCGGCTGCCGCGCTTGCGATAGGGTGATCGTGAGCGAGATCTTGACCGTCTACGGTGGCTGTCACGATCGCGACGATCGTCGCGATCCTCCCTCCTGCGCGGCGAGCGTGATCGATGACGCCGGCTGTGTTTGTGCTCTCGCTCTCTGCTCCGCTCCCTATCCCGATGTTTGTGCTTTCGCTCTCGCTCTTTCTCTTTCTCGCGCTTCTCAGCATATTTGGCCTCTTTCTGCGCGTCCTTCATAGCCTTCAACTGCATCTCCATCTTCTGCTTTTGTATCATGAGGAGCGGATCTTGCAGGACTTTCTTTTGCGTGTCGCGAGCATTATTCGCGTTGGGATCGGCGGCGGCGGCATCGATGCCGACGGCAGCACCTTTCTGTAGGCTCTGTGTGTCGTTGTCTTTCAACAGATTGTCAATCCTGCGCTTGCCCAGTAGGTAGCCCTCGCGCTCCTCCGTAATGCCTGCATCACCACTTGGGCCCGCGTACATCCAGTCCACCCTTCGTTGCACGACTTTGCCGCCATTCTCAGCTTGCAATCGTTGAAGCTCCTCGATTTGTGCTTCTTCTTCGCGTTCCTTGCGAAGTTTCTCGATCAATTTGCGCTCCTCGAGCGCAGATTTCTCCTCTTTCCATACCCTCTCTTGATTCTTGCGCAAGTGCGGATGCCAGGATTTCTTCAGGTTGAGGTCGCCTCCCATGTTTGCGGATGGTGAATGCGATGTGGATGTGATGTAGGTATGAGAAGGTAAAGGAAGGAAGGCTGGGCTGGATGATGCGCCACAGGCCGCCAAGACGCTAAGTCGGGCCCCACCCAAAAGTTACTGTAACCTCCGCGACTTCTCCGCAAAAGTTTCGAGTGAACAAGTGCGCCTGCATATCGCCCGAGCATACACATTGCGCCAGACTTTGCTCTGCTCCAATAACGTTGTGCGCATTTCATACCATTCAATACGCTTCGTTTGCGCAGCAATTCGTACGACACAGCAATGGCGACACGCAAACGAAACGAATACCTTGACGTCGAGGAAAGCGAGGATGAGGAGAGGGGCTACGATTCCGAAGAAGAGAGCAGAGCGCGCATGCTCCCGGCATCAAAGCGACAAAAAGTAGACCACGACTCTGAGGACGAAGAACAAGACGAAGAACAAGACGAAGAAGTGGATGGAGAAGAGGACCAAGGTTCCGGCGAAGACGACGACGACGACGACGAGCAACACGCGGCGAAGCGCTTTCCATCTAAGAACGCCGAACTAGCACATCTCGAGAAACTTGCTGCATCTCTTCCCTCAGAACTGAAGCTACAATCCACAAAGCTTGGAAAAGCCTTACCACCATCGTCACTCAAGAAAGACAAGTCCGGCGTGATATACCTCTCGCGCGTCCCACCCTTCATGAAACCAGCCGTAATGCGCTCGCTCTTGACACCATATGGCGCTGTGGGCCGCATTTTCCTGACTCCAGAAACCAGTACCTCCCGTACTCAGCGCCTGCGCAACGGAGGCACGCGTCGCAAACTTTTCCTTGATGGCTGGGTAGAATTTATACACAAGCGCGATGCCAAATTCGTCGCCGAGAACTTGAATGCACAGACAATGGGGGGTAAGAAGAGGGGCAGGTGGCATGATGAAGTGTGGAATATCCGATACTTGAGTGGAGTTAAGTGGCACAATCTGGTCGAGCAGATCCAGAATGAGAACGCAGAGCGTGCGGCAAGACTCAGGTTCGAGATTGCACAGGGCAAGAAAGAGAACAAGGCATTCTTGGAGAATGTGGAGAGAGGCAAGGTTGCTAGTGGAATTGAGGCTACAAGGCGGAAGAGAGGGGATGATGTTGACGGTGATAATGCGGCGGCGGTGGAGGCAGCAGAAGCAGTGCAGGAAGCAGACGGGAAGCCAAAGAGGAGGAAAGGAAGGCTAGAGTTCTCGCAACACACGACTACGAGCAAGGCGATGAAGAAGCCCGAGCCAGGTCAGGATGTGAACAGGGTATTGAGTAGTATGATGTAAAGTGAGGCGCATGATATCCAAGAATACGAGTATATTTCAGACTTCAAACTATGTCTGATGTCATGCCTGGGATGGAACTTCGTACCGTAATGCAATAAGTATAACGCCAAATTCCCAATGTCTTTTCGCTTGGACAACGCCGGCCCTTTAGAGCAATATGCCAGGGTATAGTACAATAGTATCGTTTTCTCGCCTCCTTAAATCGCTGTTCCGCGCTCGAAGCTGTCCCGTATCTCGCTTGTGTATTTGTTGTAGAAGCGCGAGAGCTTGTCGTTGAACTGCTTATTCTTCTGGTTGATGTATGTGACATCGCCGACATCCTGTTCGTCGCGTATGCCCCTTGCGGCCCTGGCCTTCAACCTTGCACGCTCGCCCTTCTCCAGGTCTTCTACTAGCCTATCGACAGCTTCTTTGGATGGCTTGTGATCGTGGCTATACGCTTCGTCGACTGGTGTGTTGATGCGCCCTTGGTTATCGACTGTGTAAATCTCGCCTGCGTCCGTCTCAACGAGTTGGAGAAGGCCGGAAGATACTTGCGATTGCAGTTTCTTTGCTTTCTCTTCTGCGTACGCTTCCATATCTACTTTGCTCATCTGACCAATCTGCCTTTTGTACACCTTGTTCGCCTCGTTCCTGTAGTCTGCAAATGCGACACCATCCCTGTTCTTCGATTTCTTCTTAAGTCTTTTGTCCCAACTTTCGCTCTCTTCAACCGTGTAGTCCCAATTCCTTTTACGCTCGAAATCAGGGTCTTCGGATTTCAAGAGTTTGTAAGAGGCTTTCTCGTTGAGTGCGCCGAGTTTGGAGATTTGCGCAAGGCGAGAGCTACGATCTTCAGCATCGCGGACCTCGCGCTCTGTCGCTTTACGGCCGTTTACTTTGGCGGCTTGAAGCGCTTTGAAGCGGGCCATTCGTGCGGCAAGGGCGGCCTTCGGGTCGGGGTTTGTCGTTGTGGCGAGGGAGTTATCTTCTGGCGCAGCGACTTCCTGGTTGGAAGTCGCATCCGGTGTAGGTGTTTCGGTCGCGCTCATGGTGGTTGAGGCGTCCGCTTCGTCGATTTTCAGTGGTGCAGACACGGTGATGATCTCGTCGTCGGTCTTTGAAGGGGCTTCAGACGCATGCGCCGCTTCGTCTATTTTTACTGGGTTGGCCATGGTGGGTGATTGTTGCTATGAGGACAGTCGCTCTTCCGCGAATTGCTGGATTGACGAATGCCAAGAAACTAGCGCGACCGCCATTGATGCGACAGCCTCAACCACGGATAGAAGCCATCTACTTAACATCATCATTATCACAACATCCAAGTAAAGGTATGCGAGGTTAACGAGGTAACAAACGCAACCAGGATAAAACATACGGATGGCTCGATGCATTAGTTGTCCGTCATATTCCGACCTTTACTACCATACTTTTCCATGTTCTGCTCACCCATCTGGTCTATATCGCGACCCGCATATCTTTTCCTATGTTTAGCAATACCTGAATTATAATTATATTACTTTGTGGAGATGCTCACAAGATATTCCACCACTAGCAATGACGTTTTCGCTAGAATAGGTCTCAATGGCAGGGAACACTAAGTAGGTGACCACCCCACCACCAAATGTAAAGTCTGTGGGGCTGGATTTCAGTAGCTTCCCTACGACTGCTTCTTTCATATGGGTAAAGGTTAAACAGAAAGGGTGCATATATAAAAGCTTGGCTACCACGTCTCATAACAACTAACAACAGATCAAGCGCAAGCTGCAGTGCAAGGAAGTCAACTCATTAGACTTTCATCATGGCATTCTCCATCTACATCGTCCTTGCGCTCGCGACCTTCGCGAGTACATTTTCAACTCTTCACCCCCGCCAATCTTCAACCGTAACCGTCGACCCAGCCAAAATCTACCAGACCATAGATGGCTTCGGTATATCTGAGACCTTCCAACGCGCAAACCAAATACATGCCCTCTCGCCCTCACTTCAGCGTTAGGCCCTAGATCTGCTCTTTAACCGTACTTCAGGCGCCGGCTTTTCTATCCTTCGTAATGGTATTGGTTCATCTCCGGACTCTAGTAGCGACCACATGGTTTCCATTCAACCCAAGAACCCCGGTGGTCCAAACGCAGTGCCGAAATATGTATGGGATGGTAATGATAACAGCCAAGTTTGGGTCAGTACGGAGGCAGTGAAGACGTATGGCGTGGATACTGTATATGCAAACGCATGGTCAGCACCAGGCTATATGAAAACGAACAACAATGATGCGAATGGAGGGTCACTCTGTGGAGTATCTGCAGCTAGTTGTTCGAGTGGAGACTGGAAACAAGCATACGCAAACTACCTCGCACAGTACATCGTTTACTATAAGGATATCGGTGTAAACATCACGCATCTGGGATTCCTGAACGAACCTGATCTTACGACAAGTTATGCCAGTATGAGAAGCAACGGACAACAGGCCGCAGACTTCATCAAAGTGCTCAGGCCGACGCTCGACAAAGCAAATCTTACGAGTGTCAAGATTACTTGCTGTGATGCTGAGGGGTGGAGTAGTCAGCAGGGTATGATGGGTGCTCTGAATGGCGTGAGTAGTATGTTAGGTACGATTACTGCGCAGTAAGCCACTCCTTCTCTCTGCAGGCGTTGATTCCATGCATTAACAGCGATCCAGTTCCTACACATCTCAACCTAACAGCCCAATAAATACCCCGCACAATGTCTGGCAAACAGAGAATGCGGATCTTCAAGGCCCTTGGGCAACAGCATTTTACAATAACAACGGCGCAGGCGAGGGACTGAACTGGGCGAACAAAATTCATACTGCTCTTACAACTGCCAACGCCTCAGCATACTTATACTGGATCGGCGTTCAAGGCGGAGCAACAAACAGCAAGCTCATTCGCATCTCCGATGATAAGAAGTCAGTAATACCTAGTAAGCGTCTTTGGGCATTTGCGAATTGGAGTAGGCATGTGCGACCAGGCGCGGCGAGGATAGGCGCGAGTGGCGGTCCGAGTGGAAGTCGAGTTAGCGCTTTCAGGAATGTGGATGAAAGCTTAGCGGTGCAAGTTATACAAGGAGGGACAGCAACAGGTACGGTGACAGTCAAAGTGAACGGCTTTGTCGCGTTTGCGGCCAAGGCATGGATCACAGACAATGGGCATGATTGCGATGAAATAGTGGCGACGCTGACAGCGGATGGGACTAGTGTTAGCGCGCAGGTGCCGGGAAGAAGCATGGTGACTTTCGTGCTTAGCCCATCCATGTAGATGAGATCACTTGCAACGGTATTAGAAATGTTTGTCTTGAGTAAGGCCGGGCAAGATACGGCTTGATCGTGGATCGTGACGATGTGTGTATCTAAACTTTCTTACAGGACAGTGGTATTTAGATGGGCTCGTCTCTTGGCTCGATGAGCACCTCGTTCACGGAAACATGCTCCGGCTGCTTGAGCGCATACACAATGCATTCCGCAACATTCTCTGGATCCAGAACCTTTGCTCCGCTTGGCTCTCCAAACTTCTTCAACGCCTCTTGGTCTGTACTCATGCCCAAGAGATCAGTTGCCACATTTCCTGGCTGCACGGCAGTGACTCTCAGTCCAGTACCAGCAGTCTCAAGCCTTAAGCTTTGTAGTGTAGCTTCTACAAAGAACTTAGATGCAGAGTAGACGCCTAGGCCAGGGAAGACCTTTCGTCCAGCATCCGAGGAGATGGCAAGGAGGTGGCCCTTTCCACGTTTGAGCATCGAAGGCACGATGGATGAGATGACGTTGAGGAGACCTTTGCAGTTGACGTCGACGGTTTGGTTCCACTGGTCCGTGTATGTGTTGGCCATCATGGTGAAGTACATCACTCCTGAAACATTCACGAAGATATCGACAGGTCCAAGTTGGCTCTCTGCTGCAGCAACGAGGGCTTCGACCTGAGATTTGTCGGTAACATCGGTCTTCTGTGTAATGACCTTGCCTTCGCGGATGACGAGTCGCTTCTTTAAATCTTCTAGGGCATCGATGCGACGAGCTGCAAGGGCGACATGGCAGCCCTCTCGGGCAAGAGCGGTGGCGGTGGCAGCGCCAATACCAGATGATGCACCCATGACTACGGCAACCTTACCGAAGAGAGGACCTCTTCGGGGAAGCTTAGCAGAGCCTCCTGCTGCGTCCTGCTGCGTAGGAGGCTTTGGTAGCCATCCTCGTGCATACCAGTGCCGTGTGTAAGTCTCAAGAAGTACTTGGTCCACCTTCGGGCGCTCTACTGCAAGTCGTAGCGGTCTGGTCTTCGCATTATCGAGTACAACGACATCCCTGAGAAACTCGATACTAGGCATACCGCTTCGCAGGATATCGACCGTGAAGGCACCATCACCACCCTTGGCAGAACCACGCTTGTCATCCCAAAGACTGGTCCACTTCTCAAATTCCATCGGCTGAGTTGGGTAACCTAGCGCGTTGAGATCTTGGAAGACCTTGCTGACATCGACTGGATCGGGGTCTCCAATGTGGAAAATGGTTTGGTCAGTCTCGGTTTGGTTGCTGAGGTGCATTATGGCCTTGCTGACGAAGTCGACTGGGGTCATCTCCGCACGCCAGCCCTTGACATCAGGATAGTGGCCGATTCTGACTGACTCAACAATCATGGCGGTCAACAGATCCCATGCGTTAGCAGCACCTGTCTCGCTGTGGCCACTGATGGTTCCAAGACGGTGGATCTTGATGGGAAGACCTCTTCGACCAGCCTCCAGAGCAAGCTGTTCGGCCACCCACTTTGTCTGACCGTAACCATCAGCGAGTTTGGTTACTTCATCAACATCAAGCATAGCGTCTTCTGACCACCCTTCACGACCTTTGGCAGGAAGGAGCACTCCGTTAGTAGAAATATACTGCACGGTGGCACCGCCTTGAGCAGCAAGACGAAGAACCTCTCTTGTACCACCAACGTTGGGTTTCTGCAATGCAGCGTAGGGATAAACCAAGTTGACAGTGGCAGCCGCATGAACTATTACATCAATGCGTTCCGCCAACGTCTTGAACGTGTCAGGAGCTAGACCAAATCGCTTACGCGACAGGTTTCCTGGAAGAATCTCGACACGCTCCATGATGTTATCGCTCCACAGACCAAAGTCCAGCAGGTTCCTGCGTATCCTAGCAATACCGGCAGGTATATCGTCTTGTGAGGAATCGGCAAACCGGACCATGCATACGATCTGAGCCGACGTGCTCTCGAGTAGATCTCTGAGAAGGAAAGCACCCAAGAAGCCCGTGACACCAGTAAGTAGCACGGTCTTCGCATCTTTGAGCGCACACATCTTGGCATCTTTGGGCTGGATCTCCTTATCCAGTACAGAATCTGCACGTAAGACAGCAGGTAAATTTTCCTGTACTTCGGCGGTATGTCCGTCACGAATAGCACGGACAGTGTCCAGATGGCCATTAAGCGTTGCTGGAGTAGCGAGGCGTGCCACTGGTACCCTAAATCCGAATGTGTTTGATAAGCGCGCAGCCAGGTCGGCAAGTAGCAGTGAGTGACCACCTAGATCGAAGAAGTTGTATTCGGGGGTGATGGAACTTGGGCTGATGCTCAATATAGATGCCCAGATTTCCGTAATCTGCTCGATGGAGATGGGGCTCTGCTCGAATTTTCGTGCGCTTCCAGTAGGAGATGCAGGCCTGGGAGGAGGAAGAGCTTTGAGATTAACCTTCCCAGATACGTCGCTTGTTGGAAGGCTATCCATCTCCACCCAAAGTGCGGGTATCATATAGTGGGCGAGATATGCCATCAACATACGTCTGGCAGTCGAGCTGCGGCCGGTTCGGTCGATCTCAACTTCTGGACGCTCTGTAGACGTATCCTTGTCCCTCACAATGTATGCAACCAGTTGTCTGTCAATGCCTTCCCCGAAGGGTACTACAGCGCAATGGCTGACAGCTAAGTGGTTGAGGATTGCGCTCTCGACCTTTCCAGGTACCACAGAGTATCCGCGGATTTTGATCATAGCGCCAACACGGCCAGTAATCTCGAGCAACCCATTCGATAAGAGGCGTGCTTTGTCACCAGTCCTGTACATGCGAGCACCGATCTTCGAGCTGTACTGATTCCGAATGAAAGCCTTGGCGGTAGTCTCCGGGCGATTTAGGTATCCTCGAGCAAGCAAATGCCCACCTACGCAAAGCTCTCCATTCTCTCCTTCATCCACTTTCTGGCCACTCTCGTCCACGATATAGATGTATTTCCTATCGATGAGGGGAGGTCCCACAGGACAGTAGGCGGCATCCTTATCCAGCTTCTCAAGCATATCCTTGATATCTCCAGAAGCAATCTCGTGTGTCTCACATGCGCTGTATACATTGAGTAGGCGAGTATTGGGTAAAGCTTTGATACCACGACGTGCAAGGTCGGTGGTCACAACTTCGCCGTTTAGCCAAACAGTCTTCAGGTTTGGCAGACGCGTCTCCAGCGCTTGGTGACGAGCAAGAACGGCAGAGAAAAGTGTTGGTGTGAAGAGAGTTTCGGTGATCTTCTTCGAGGCAAGCAAATCGACAAGCATGCGCGGGTCATAGCTTGCTTCGTCCGGTACAGCAACAACTGTTGCACCTCGCAGCAGCGGGCGTAGGATTTCCCACACGAAAAAGACATTGCAGGCTACTCGATCGCCTGGTTGCACGTCCGAAAGCCCGAAGCGAAGGTTATATGAGAGAACTGCTGCTCGATGTGGATTCGCGATGCCTTTCGGCTTACCGGTCGTTCCACTGGAGTATGCAACAAATGCCAAGCGGTCCAAATCGGTGTCCTCGGGCAGTGGCTTCAGCTCAGACTCATCTAGCAGGCCGTTCGTAGTTGAGCTGGTTTCATCCAGAACAACAAGCGGGGTGCTTCCCTTGATCTTGCCAACTTCGGCGCTGATAGTAACCACGACAGTCGGCTGAGCATCCTCGAGAACGTCCGCAAGGAGATCAGGAGGATAGGCCAGTTCCAGGACCAAAAATGCACCACCGGCCCGTAGTGCTGCTAGACAGGCGATTACATAGTCGGCGGATCGCGGCAACAGGACACCAACCAAGCTGTCACGGCCGACGCCATGGCCCCGCAGCCGTTCGGCGAGGGCAGCGACTTTGTCGTGGAGCTCTTGGTAAGTGTACGTATGATTGTCGTCTTCCAATGCAATCAGATCCGGGGTAGCATGGACCTGTTTCGTGTAAAGTGCCGAAAGGTCCTTGGTAGTGTCGATGACGGACATGGTCTGGAATTTTCCAAAGGAGGGGCAGATGGAGAATCAAAGCTTGCGAGTGACGGGTACCCAACGTCTTATTTATCGAATTGCGCTCCCCATAAGTCGAACCGACTGTTCTCGTTGAGTGATGCAAAGCGTGGGGAATTTGGCTCGTTGAGGGTGAGATGGCTCGCTAATTCCTTCGTGCATCATGGCACTTTCCTTGTCTTGAGGTGGTGCCGAGAGCGCCTGCCGATAACGTCATTTGCTAGCGTCGACTAACAATTCCACAAACCCATATTATTGCTCAGTGATGCGCATCGTTGAAGCCGTCGGAATGCTCCCGGTGGCTGGTTGGCTCTTTGTTGACAGCTTGCATGATCACCATCCAGGTTGCTGCCGATACAATGTGGCCGCCTGTCGGGTCGTCGCGCGATAGCCCCAGCCTAGAAAACTCGTAGTGCTCCATCAGTGGATAGTGGACGGTCGCGTGGCTGCTGCTGACACTGCTTGGGCATTGTTGGGGACCTGGGGATACGTGAGGCGTCGTGGGCTTGCGTCGTCACGCTGGGCAAGAGTCGAGGCAGATCTCCGTACTGTGCACAACCAGCATTGCTGTGTGGTTGAGAGTTTCGCTTCGTATTCTCGTGGATACTTTAGAAGTTCCGAAGTTGTCCTATTCATTTACTGGATGTCGCAGGTGGCTCCAGCAATGGAGTGTTCGCTTAGGTAGATGCATTCAGCACAACAAGAGGTCTCTGTCGTTCAAGTAAGCATTACAATGAGTAGTCAAATACCGAGTCACTATTACATCCTATGGCAATGAGATGTAATCTACTGCTAGTCGGCCTCATGACGTTGACGAAAGGCTGGCTGGATAACCTGCGGAGGCCTCATAGAGCACGTTCGTAGGGTGCCAGGCGGGTCAAACAGCGGAAGCTTAAATCATGAATGTTGCGCAAACCATGTCACTTACTTAACACGTAGTGTATAACTAGAGTAACGCTGTGCAGGTCAGAGACGATGGAGAGCCAGTGCTGAGGTCGTTCAAGAGGAATGCGGGGGAAGGCGCTAAGACGCGGTAACATAGCCAGACATAAGCCTTGCACAAGATCGACCTGACACATCCATTGTCGACTGACTAATGCGCCTAACGCACAAGACTACATTAAAAGTATACGAGAGTCATGAACAGCTCCAAGGCTCTGACTGTGTTTAACCCTGCCACTTTGTACGCCTCTGCCGAAACATAGATACCATACCAATCGGCAGCAGCCCGAAGTCTACTACATTGAGACCACCGAACTTGTCAATCATCTCCGGGCCGTACATCTGTGTGATCCACTTCCAGTAGGCTTCCATCGAACTCCGTTGCGCGGTGATGCCGCGCAAGGTATTCTGACCCTGGAGTTGCTGCTGAGCCTGTAGCACAGGTTCGCTTGCATTTATGGACTTTTCTTGTGGTCGCTCAAGCAACTCCTTGTAAACGTCTAGCAAGCTCGCCCTACCGGTAGTTACGAATGCCTCGGTGTATCTGGCAAATTCCTCGAAGGAGAAGAATGTGTCAGGGTCTTCAGGCCTCCAGTTCGCATCCTCGACATTGCGACGCGTGGGACGACGAACGCCCTTATCGAACGCGCGCTTAGCAGTGTTATAGTCACTACGCAAAGTGTTTTCGTACTCATCCAGCAGATCGTATGGGTTCTCCTTGACCGATTCCCGAATTTGCAATAGGCCAACGAATGGAGATTTCAGGTCCAGACCTCCAAGCTCGACGGGGAAGAAGAGAAACCCATCTGGGACGTCTTCGACAGAGAAGCGTTCTTTGATCGTTGTCTTTAGATGTTGCACAATGTTGCTGTCAGGGAAAATGCTGTTTTGAATGTGGCGGTGGGTGGCGAGCATCATGTCAACGTGCTCGCGTCCGAAACAATTGGCCGCCATCCCGAAGTTGGAGCTGAAGAAGGTAGCTGCGTAGGAGTTCTGTTCCATCTGATCAGCTGTTCTGTCGTGGAACCGATGGACTTGAACTACTTACCCAGATCTGTATATAGTCGATAACACTCTTCATCTTGCCATTCAGCTGCGTGCGCAGCTCTTCCACGTGGCCATCGACCATCTTTTGGTCGATCTTGAACCTTCCACTCTTTGGGTCAAGCTGCAAGAAGCCCCATCGAATGTCGCCCTTCGGCAGGCGATTGTCAGTCTCAGCATCAGAGTTGTGCGAGACGCGAACACTGCCCGTTTTCTTCTCGTCCAGCTGAAGTTACTGTCAGCTAGTCTATCACAGTGTTTTTTTTTTGCTCAATAACTAACCTTGACTCCCGTCAAATCAACAAACTTGACAATACTTTCCCAGGCATTAGTACACGTATCATGATCCTGGTTCCAGAACCAAATGTCATCGCCGAGACGGTGTAGGTCTGGCCCGCCAGTGGCTTGGTTCACAGCGAAATCCAAACAGAAAAGCACGGCCTCCCCTAACGTATCACTCAGGGTATGGGAGCCTGGCATTCCTCGACGACGCAAGCGAGGCTCGGATGACTGATCGTCCACGAACTTCAGTGGTGCCTGCAGGTAACGCGCAAAGAACTCCCGCCATCTGTTCGATATGCCAAGGAAGTCTAGAACGGTAGAGATGGTTTGATGTGGCAACAATGGATTCCAGGAGTCGAAAGTTGTATGCAGACAGTACAGTTGTCCGTGCAATCTCGTGTTCAGTACGATTTCAGTGGATACGAGGTGAAGTAGGGTTTGTTTCGCTTGCATCGGTTTCTTGGACTGGCGGCGGTATTCTTGATCTTCCGGGCTATACGTATCTCTGTCGTTCTCCATTTCCTCTTCCTCCATAGACTCGCGCTGCCCTGAATCTGAAGAAGCAGCTAGCACCCCATTGTAACCGGTAGACATTCTTGCTGTCTGCATTGTACGACCTCTGCCTAGTTCCTGGCTCGCAATGGAGTGCATTCCCTGTACCGATGCCCTTTGACGCTTTTGGACAACGTAATCTCCGTATTCTGCCTCCTCTTCACCTTCATCTGCCTCAATTCGCTGAGTGTCATAATCTAACAATTGGTGGACAAAATATCTATTGCGATGTATGCTTTCGCGCTTTTTTTCAACGGTCGAGTGAACTCGAATGCCTTGGTCGCCCAGAAAAAATGATCGTCGCAGACGGTCGGTTTTTGAAACTTCTGTGAAGTTTCTCTTCCAGGCTACATGCTTGTGCATGTCCAAGAATGCCGATTTGAAGAACACGGACCTAAAAGTTGAGCAGTTAGAGACAACATTCTGGATCATGTGTGTGGACGACGACTCACCACTTCACACCAATGTGATGGAGAAAGATGGCCTGAAGAAGGTCCGGATCGAAGTGGATGGAGAAGTCACCGTTGATCTTTCTTCTCTGCTCTAACAGGACATATGGCCCCCAGGTCCAACGATCAAGGGCCGTCATGCGCACGTTGAGGATGTCACATAACTCCGCGAGTATCACGTCTGTGAATCGTTAGCTATGAGCACTCTAGAAACTCCATGCGTACTTACCGTTGCTTAGAAAGTCTCTGAGCGCCTCTCGCTTCTCGTTTGAGAGAAGATTGGAGTTCAAAAGCCCTTTTATGGTTGAGCGAAGGGTACTGTTGTTGAAGGATGTCGAGCTCTTGAAACTCAGCTCGAAGTCTTCGACCTTTTGGCGCAACTTCAGAATTGCAGCGGAGCCGTCTTTACTATCTGTCTTGAATAGCTCATCAAGATATGATCTCAGAGCTTGCTCGTCTACTTCGGCCGCGTTGAAGACGTCTTTCTCCCACTCAGCACGGGATGCAAGCTTCTTAGCACCAGGTATTTCCTCAAAGCTCTCGCCCATCTCAATATCGCCATCTTCGCTTGCATGTCTCTCGGAAGAGAGCCATTCAGTGACAAGTTTGCCGTAGAGGTCGGCATACTGAAACTTGGTGGACTGGATCGAGAGGTATCTTAAGAGGGTTTCCTCCCAATCCGAAAGAACGTTAGATGAAACGGAAGGGTCGAAACGCGCCTGCTCGATGAAGCGATCGAGGTTCTTGAGGTCAGTCTCGAAACGCACGTTTCTAGATGATCCACTAATCACTGATCCTGTACGGCCGTTCTTGGTCCTTTTTTCTGTCTGGAAACCAAGACATGCTTTTGAGCCGTCAAGGAGGAGACATAGTCGCTTTAGCGGGTCTGTTTCAGCTTTCGCAGCAGCGACGAGTGCAGCATAATCTTCTTCAAAGACAGTGCGCTGCTTCGCGAGTTCTTCGAGTTTTGTGGTTGTGATCGTCTGGAGCGTCGCGCCAAATACACTACCCGATGAAGTCGCCATGGCCAATGACACAAGCGTATACTGTGGGCGATATCTCGGTGATTTGGCTGTAGAAAGGGGTCTGAAGATACTTTTCGGTTCTGAGCACTAGGATCGGGCAAACAGCGGCGGCGAACGCCAGTACTCACAGACTTGGGGGTGAGAGGCCTTGGATAGAAAGCCGAAGAGATCACCAGGCTATATAGAGACGCAATTGCACTTCGGTAGGCAGCAGGCGCTTGGCAAGGCAGCCTTGGTGTGCATTTTTATCCAGCCTGTAATGCGAGGATCACTCAACACCCGAATATGCTACGCATTGAAACCCAGTGGCTGGTTTGGCAATGAAACATTGGAGGGATACTGGACACATCTAAACGACGTCGTGTTTAAACGATGCGTTGCCATTCGAGATCCAAAATGTAAAATCATAGATACGGTGAGCTTCGAGACCTCTGAATATGGTACATCGAGCGCTAATGGAGCTTGTTCTGCGAGAACAGGGTTTTCGTACTATGGACAGGAGTTGAAGCTCGCTCAGGTGAGAAGTGACATAGGCGGCGTCCTTCCTATCGATAAGTGCACGGGCCTCCTTTCTCGACAATAACCTCTACTGTGCTGTGCCTCTCGACCCCTCGTCCGACATACTCTGACTCATTAGGCTGCTGCCTTCTCATACATTGCTCTCTGGAACAGCTCATGCAGCTTCAATATGCTCGGGCTCATCGGTGGTATGACTTGGCAGAATGCTACGCCGCAGACCCCAGCTTCGAAATCGAGATACCAGGTCATGCTCGGTACGCCTCCCCAGAAGACGGTTCCAGGGTTCATACGTCCTTGCTGGCCCTGTTCAACGATCATCCCAGCGAACGACCATTGCTTCTCAATATCCGTTGGCAGACACATGCCGAGATACTGCGTATGCAGCGGTGAACACTTGAGGTAGTTGTTGAACTCTTGTTTGCACTTCTCATCGAGCTGTGGCTTGAAGAGCTCCGTCCAGGAAGCCTCACCTAATAGCTTGGGGTCGTGCCTTAGAACGGACTGGAGGAAAGCAAAGTAGGCTTCAGCGCTCGAAAAGCATCCAGCACCACCCAAGCAGTCGGTGGCACCGAACAGGACGTCAAAGCCATTGGTATCTGCCACCGGCCCTTCACCCTGCTCGTTTAGTGTGCTGATAGTCGCCATCCGATCCTCCATGTCGGGTCTTGTTTTTGGGTAGAAGGTAATATCATGTATGTCCAATGGCGTCCATATCTTCTCTTTCATGAAGGCGTCGAGTGTCTTCCCGGACACTTTTTCGACGAGTTTACCCGCCCAATCTGACCCTGCGCCATATCTGAAGCTAGTGCCTGGCTCGTACAGAAGCGGCAGAGTGGACTTTTCCTCTACAGTCGGTCCACACCAAGGGGTCTCTCCACGACTTGCACGCCACTTCATCAGATCAGGATTGAACCAGTCATACTCATGGCCATTCGTGTGACTCAGTAGCATCCTGTTTTGGTCAGATAGGCAGCAGCTAATAGACTAGTGCGAACTCACCTCAGGGTGATCGGCGTCGTATGAGGCACAGTGACCGCCTCATTTTTCTGGTCGTCGAAACCGGTCATGATGCCGTACTTTCCAATACTAGGCAGATGCTTGGCTACGTCTTCATCGAGCGTGATAAGTCCTTCTTCAACGCACTTCAAGGCTGCCACGGCGGTCATGAGCTTTGTCATCGATGCGATAGCGCATATTGTATCAAGCTGGAAAGGGCGTGTCGAGCCCTCTACGAGCGACTGAACACCTTTTGCACCCGAGTAGAGGATCTTGCCTGCTCAATTATCAGATACTATTCATACGAACCGCGTACGATTACACACCATCTTTGTCACCCGCGAGTAAAGCATATCCGGGAAGGATCTTGTCTTCGATAGCTTTATCGTACGCCTTCTCAAATTCTGTCATGTTGGCTGTGCTTTGACTATGGGCTTGTCAACTACGAGGATGGGATGTGATCTCAAAGTCACTCTTATATCCACCATTATACTGTCGCGGATATCAGAGGCATTGTAGGGTGTACTTAGATCGTGTACATGCTGACTGCATGCTGCAATGGTCAGAATTAATACGACTCAGCCAGCCGATGAGTGCTTGGCTAATGACCAAGCGACTTTGTTCCCATTCATCTGACGACTCTACTCCATACCAACATTCAGCTCCATCCAACTCATGCGCTTACTTCGATTCCAGGTACATGCACCGAGGCTTACACGAGACACATTGGGTCTAGATTGGGTACAGCTCCCTGGCTACATTTCAGCTGGGGCAACGCATCCGACGACATCTGCGACCTCCTGCATAATCGCGGCACACTCTCGTACGAACAGTTATTCCTTGGTTGTGCAGCTTGTGTCAAGGTTGCCGATCCTAAGCGCCTGAGCGCACAGCGGCTGACGGGAAGAACAATCGTAAGCTCGGGAGAAGACAAACCCGGGGCCGCTCTTCCGTAACACGCCAAGCGCGTCAGATATTCCGCGACGATACCCACTGCGCTTGCGATTATTTATTTCTGGTGGTCATCCGATTCCATTCTCATTTGGTCGCAGCTCCAGTAAGGGCCACCACTTTGACTGTTAGGGGCTGACAACGCGTTTGGCATTGCCGAAGTCTCGTCATTCGCGCATAATGCATATTGTTGCACTTTTGCATGTGTTCTCATGCCACGAAGGAATGCAATTCTTATCCTAATTCTACCCATCAGAGGGATATTGTTAAATATACTCGTTAGCTTTGGTCATGTTTTTTTTTGTGAATACAGTGTTGCCCTTGCGATTGCCTTCGGGCTCACCCAGGTGCGCTTGTTTAGGAGCTACAGTCTTATTCTTTCATAGCGCTAGATCGTTGCTCCACGCTTCTGGTAACTTGGATACCTCCTCCTTTCATAGGCAATATGTATTCTTCACTGCCAGTAGTGCCTTGCCCATGCACCATGTTCACCATCTGATTATCCTCGAGAGCTACCCACTCCTCATCCCTTCCACTCAAACGGCTCTTTATAATCGGGCGTTTCGCGTAGCCTGCTGCAGGTGTATGTTGAGGATTGGTGCCGCCGCTGCTTCCGAGTTTGAGTACGCGCTGGAGGAGAGGGCGAAGTGTGGCAACGCATCCTACGATCATGCCGACGCCATTCTCGGCGTAACCCCACAGGATCACCTTCGATACACCATCTGGTGGGGAGGTTAGTTGTTTATCCGGTGGTTGCGGCAAGGGCGATCCGGAGAAGGGAGATCACTTACGGAGGTAATCGGTCGAGCTCGTGAGATTTACAGTATAGACCAGGCGGATGCAGGCTGAAAGACTCGCTCTGTAACGCATTAGATGGCGATCGCGTTCCCAAGACATAAGCGAGACTTACAAGGCACCGAGGCCGAGAATGACACCGACCGAAAGCTTAGCATTACGGTTCAACTGTACATTCCAAAGCAGCGGTATGGGCAAGAGCGCGCAGAACCAATCCGTCGCAATGTTGACCGCAGTCGTCGCGTAGTATATGTCCGCCAGTGTTTGCGCTGGGTTACATTTCCCACCAGGGGTCGAAGTATCCCAAGCCCACGACACCGGAGTGCACTGAAAAATGATGTACAGCATCGCAATCAGGTTCATGACGATGAACATGGCCGAAACGACCCACAGGGCGTAGATGTAGGTAACTTTTCGTGATGCGATGCGGATGAGCATGAATGTGATGCTCATCTTAATTGGGATGATAGCCGCACAGTAAAAGACTTCGAAGAAGAAGAAGAACTTCATGACTTAGCAGGTAGAGATACTAGCGCTAGAGAGCAACACACCTCCATTCCTTGGACTTTCTCTTGATCACTTAGTCTGGAGTCGTGCACTCCAACTCCACTGAAAGCACCCCCTATGCATGCTATCGTCAAGCCGGTAAAGGGGACCTGTATCACCGTAAGCTGAGCTGTCCAGAAGATTGACCTAGAGGTTTACTTACAGTGGCAGCTGTCATGCTCCAGTCGTCTAATCCCCAAGCATTGTTGTGTAGTCTCGTGTAGACTCGCAACCCGAAAAGAATGAACGCGATTACTGTCAGCGCGATGACCGAGGCAGTAAGTTCAGGAGCATTGTCGCCGTAGTAAGTCATAGTGATACCCTAACGCTGACAGCCGCGATGTGGGGGATGAAGGGATGAGATATACAAAATGTTCACGCAAGAAAGGAACGACTAGGGAGGAAGCCTGTGGAAACACATCAGGATGCAATGCAAAGACGCATGTGCTTCAGGACATTGCGATCAGTTGTGAAGCAGGCTTAACCGGAGGGAACAAGCCGAACTGGTTTCAAGAAGGGAAAGAATTGGACGCATATCAACCTGTTATCGGTGATCTCCTGGGAATCCCTAGTACCCACCCCAGACCAACGAATAATTCGACAGTTGTGTTGTGCACAAGCCGCCAGAAAGACCCACGCAGGACGAATTTTCTTCGCTTTCTAGCATAGCTCCTGGGGCGGATATTAGGATCCTGCTGGAAGGAACAGCGAACCACACCCGAAGGGCGTTCCCGTCTCGAGGTTAGATACATATGGCGCGGGTCGCCTAAAGATGACACCGGTGAAGCTGGCACGGCTGGACCAAGTCCTCGGTGCTATTGCGTGCCTGGCTTCTGGGCGGCTGTTGTACCTGGACCCTGAAGGATGAGAGGATTCGAGACAACGCTTCGCGTGCGTTGTGTCCATGGAGTGGCCCTGTTGGAATGTAGGGATATTGGCATTCTGATACAACGTGCCGTGCGGACTTCATCAAACAGTGATCCTACGATGCTTTTTATCGCAATACCAAGAGAACATTATCCGGAGAGATCGCCATTGTCTACCTTGTCGCTGCTGTATAACCGTGCCCAACGTGCCGTGAGGCTGCTAGCCGCGACGGCTGATGAGCTCGTCGTCGGTAGGGGGGATACGGGTAGCGCAGGTCGCCGGTGAACCTGCGTTAGTCGAAGCTCGCTTGAGAAATGCTCCGCAAAAGGCCCGAATATCGTACCCTGTACCTTGAATCAACGACTCCAACCGCATCGCGTATACATCGGAAACGGCTCGCGAAGGAGCACGGGTGGAAGGGGCTCATGGAGGATGGCAGAAAGCATGGGGAAGGGACGCGAATGCGATGATTACTCTGAACCCCCTGAATAGCTCGGTGCACTCATTCCTAGTGGAGCGCGTGACCGGGCTTCTCAGGGCATGCCGTCTCGTGCGAGGGATGCAAGAGTGCAAGTGCCAACCAACATCATACTGGACAGCGGCACATGTAAGGTATAGTAATGCCAGTGGTGGGGGCGAAGAGTCAGCGTGCCGTCACCTTACGTACCTAGGGTACCCAACAGACGCGACTTCCTATGACGTAAGCATATAGCGCTACCTAAGCACAAGCTTGCTCTAATCCTACGAAACAGCTCCCGAATAGTTCCCTTGTCTCGATCCGTCTCTACACATGATAAATCTTATCTGGGATTTGTTTACGGTTTGACAGCCTGCACATATAGGTGTCAGAACCTTGGAAGTGTCACCGCAGCTCACACTATATACAATGGGGGCCCTTAGGGGCCTTTGGCATCTATCTGACTGTCACTCGGAAGCCTGTAACTACTGACGATCTGTCCAAAAGCAGTTTACGATGCTTTCCATGGAGCCCGTAAGTTAATTGCATCCAATAGATGGGAAGGCTACCTCAGTGGACCCATGACATTGTAGTGCTTAGGTATGCTTACGGGGCCGACGGTACATATCCTGGGGATTTGTCAATCTACGTACCCGCAGGTTCACCTGCTACCATCCCATCCGCACCGTATAGTTGACCTCCGAATTTGGCGACCGACAAATCGACAGGCTACTTCTGTAGTACGCTCCATCCCCCATGTTCGCGCTCGAGTCGACGAGAACGAACACTATTGGTACCTCTGGTCTAAGCTATGCTTCTAGATCCAGGATTGCCTTCGACTGATGAGCGTAGGACTAAAAGATCAGCATAGGATTATCCAGAGTATAATGCTTCGACTGTCGACTATGTCTGATTAGCAACGACATGCGAAATCAGTTCGGAACTAGCCTGTTAGAATTCGGTTGCCTACACCAGCTCAACTCTTCCTGACGTGTGGCTCTAATATCCGGAGGTCAACTCCCACCCTCACAGTTATAGTACAAGAACCCCTGTGAGTGCGAGTCGATTACTGCACCACGTAGATCGCTCTTGACAAACACAATATTGCTTCTTACATGGTCTTCTTGAGCACGGATGATGGTTTTCTGACGTTACTAAGCGAGTACAGTGGCCGGTTTGTTCTCTTTTCATTTCCTCTCCGAAGTGTAAACCCTACAGGACCTAACGATTGGGTTCGTTGCTACAGATTCTCTGCATTCGAAAGTTGAGTTTTTCGCCTTCTTGATCCGACAATTAGCAGTTGGTCTGCTGCGTACCATCATCCAATCGCAGACCCCTCTGCGGAATGATGTACCTCGAATATGCTCAAGGTGTGAGTGTGAAAAAGTGTACCTCCGCCGACGCTCCCGCTGGCAAAGTTTCCATGCCATGTAGCTTCTTGGACATATACACAAAGCCGCATACACGTCAACCCTTTGAAACTTCTGATGCGGTAATCTTTGGAAGAAGGAGAAGAGAGAGTTTTCGAGTTTGGTGCGATGGTGCCTCACTTTGTTCATCAGCTTTCGCCGCTGCGAACCATGGGACTTGGGAGATACTTGGGAGATCATGGACCTCCACTATGCCAGCTAGAAGATTAAGTATTCTACCATGTGTAACCTCTTGAGCGATTTAGGCGGTTGTCTAGCACGCGTAATTCGCACGTTCGACCCGGCCAGCCTCGACACTCTTCCATTCTTCATCAGCACTTATCCGCCAGGACACTTGACTCTCTGATCAGTCGTAGCAGTTTCATACGCTGAAGAACGGTGCAAATAGCTGATTTTGCCCAGCCAAACAATAACGCGCGTCGTTGCATTGTACCTGGCACACATCTGTACGACCTGGTGGTTTCTCTTGGCAATATTGTTTTAGTCGATGCAGACTGTGAATTCTCACGTATTCTACGAGCCCCTAAGTGCGGGAAAAGCAGTATATCAGAGGCTAGGTCCACATGTCAAGCTAGGATCGGAAGAAGCAAGGAAGACGCGTAGTGGGCGTGAGCGAACCCATGGGGTAATGTTGAACAGATGGGTTTGAGATGAGTGCAAATAGCAAGGGGCTTTGTCGAAGTCAAATGGGCTTGATGTTGGACGCGTAAGACATGGGCGATGTGTGATTGAGGTTTCAGAGGGGTGGTGCAGAGCGTGATGGAGGAAGTTCGGGGTGCAAACAGGCGTCGCACACTCAGATCAGGTTGCACATGTCAAGGCGTCGATGCCCAATCGGGCGAGCGTCATGCGCGCCTGCCGTCAACAAAGATAAGAATTCGGAATGTGGTCGTGGAGATGCAGGAATGGGAGGACAGAATGAGTGATTCGAGGGCAATAAAGCCTGATCCATGGAACCCTTGTGAGACGAGTGTTGTGTTCACCCCGCCATGCCACCTGCTGTTAGTCTTTTCCCCACCAACAGACGACCAACGCCCAGACAGTCGCGCCGTCATCACGTCTCTTGTCTCAGTCTCGCGCCCGACGAAGCCAAACAGCACCCACGGCTTTTGATAGACAGCGGCACTTTACCCTTTCCCGACGCCACTCGACGAAGAGGGGGAAAGTGAAGTGGGGCTCCGCTAAGCCACCCTATGCGTGAGCTAAATCGCTGCTCGCCCAACGACATCACCACAGCACGACGACGACTCCGCCATTGTCGCCTGCCTCCATCACATACGCGACCCTCCCGCCGCCGCCGACCAGGACGCGTTGGAACGGCTGTTTCTCGCGCGCGCAAGTAGCTTACGTGACGGGTGTCTACCCGAGCGCTGTCGATCCCTGGTAGCCTGCCCTCGCTGGGCACGTTTGTCACGCCGTCGCCTCTGTCGGTGAAGAAATCTCCTGACGCCCTCTTCGCCCCAATCCAGCACACACGATCCTCACCATGGCGAACGTCGAAGAAACCGTTGCCAATGTGCAACGCAAAATCGACCGCGAGAGGGCCCTCATCAATGCCGCCAATGCCATGCGCCAGTCGACCAACAACCCGGCCGTACTTTCCCGTCTCGATGGACAGATCAAAGATGGCCGCCGGAACATCGACTACTTCGAGTCCAAGCTGCGGGACTTGGACGTGCAGAGGACGTCCACCGGCATGGAGAATATGAGTCTGCAGCCAGGTAGCCGTGGCCCCAACAACCCGCTGACGCCTCCCCCGAAAGACGGCTGGAACGGGTACATGCAGCAAGACCAGGGCGGCTATGGAGGCCCTCAAAGCCAGTATAGTCAGCTCAGTGGCGGAGAAGCTCTACAGCCTCCTCGCGCGCCATATGCTCCGCCAGCACCCGGCGCGCCCAACAAGCGGCCCAACTACAGCAAACTGGGTACATCTATACTTCTTGCGACAATGCTATTCTTTGCTGACACGCGCAGACCTCATCAAATATGACACCCCGCATCTCGGCCCCCGCATTCAGCTCATGCTGTCCCAGCTCGAATTCAAGCTCAGTGTTGAAAAGCAGTACAAGGACGGAATCGAGAAAATGGTGCGGTTATACCAGATGGAAGGCGACCGCAAGAGCAAGCAAGATGCCGAGGCCAAGCGTATCGAGAGTAACCAGAAGATTCAGCTGTTGAAGCACTCATTGAAGCGTTACGAGGATCTCCAT